TGCCTTGGGAACCACAGTTTGGATTGGTGATGGACTGATCGCAAAGATTTAAGGAATGTTGGGGCTGAGATCCCCTTTACCCAGTATTTGTTGAAAGTCCACTGAGTTATGAGTTGGTTTGAGTCATGATTTGTAGCAAACATCACGACCAGATAACGGAACTAGCTAGTAAACTGACCTTCAACCATGTTAACCAAGTTAGTGAAGTGAGCTACAGTTTGGGAACTGTTTATTGTTCATTAACTTCTGTTTGTTGAACAGATCACCCAAAGAACATATGCTTAGAGGCCGTTCATTTTTTGGAAAGCAACTGAATAATGCATAGCTGTGTTTCAAAAACATGCTTCGAAATCATGAAGCTATCAAGACCACCTGAAAAGGGGTGTTATTCTACTACATCCATGCAGCGCTAGGGCCAACATTTTGTTGTACGGAGCTCTGCAATGTAATGCTACTCCCCCCCCCTTAAGCATGTAGATAATCTTCTTCACTTGTTCAGCAGAACTGGAGGCCAGCTTTGTTTCTTCAATTTAACTACCAAACCATCCTATTTGAGATGGGTGAAATGAACGACGGACAGCTATTGGGAACCCCAAATGAGCGTCGGTGCTCGAGACCTGCTCGAGACGAAACCCCATCGAAACGGAGCGGCTTTTCGCCAACATGCGTTCAAAAGGCCTTTAGGTTCTGCGTTTGAATATGTGCTGTTTTGGCTGGTTTCCAATCAGACGGAAAGGTTAGACAAGTATGAGCATTTTAGCCAGTTAAACTGACCTCCGAGGTCGTGAGGTGGTTTGCAGACCAAACTAGTGGAACCAATAAAATCAAAAGCATCTTGTTCTACAAGTTTTTTGCTGACTTGGCTTAGAATCTTGGGCTGCCTGGGGCACCAGACAGAGGATTCGAGGAAGAGCTGCGAACTCGGCTTTGAATCTGAAGAGGACGGCGGCCTGGGAGCTACGAGGATCAAACCTTCACCGCTGCCCTGTGATGCTGAGACTGATGCGACGGCTGCTTGAACTTCATACAATAGGGCCTCAACTGATCAGACTTCCGGCGAAGCACAGGAAAAACCCATGCCCAATGTCAGCTACAAGCAAGCTGTGGGACCTGATCCCACTAAGGCCTGGGGAACAGGCTGCGCTGGAGTAGCTGTGATAGAAAACCTCAGATCAGTGCATTTTTTGCATCCCCTTCCATCGAGTTTGAGAGACAGCATTGGGTCCAACAGCTCAGCGGTTCGTGCAACAAAGTAGATTCTGCTTGCTAAGCCTTGCGCAACCCATTCCCCACAGAACTCACGCTCGTTCTCAAGCATCTCGTCGAAACAAGTCCTGGCACTTGAGGAAACCAACTCCGACGCGGGCTGCGACGCTTGGCTGGATGAGGCAGCGAGGCCTTGCATGCGCATCTTTGGAGATCATTGGTCCATAGTCCTTCCCGAGTGTTCTTTGCGGGGGTCTAACTTCACATACAGGGTGTCAGCATTCTGGCACTCGGGAACCCTTCCGATACGTCTATGAAGCGCACAGACGTGTGTGGCGACACCTCCGGCCTTGGCCTGTTGTCTCAAGGACTGCGCTCCCTTCATCTTCTGATCCTGGCTTTGCAAAACCACGGAAAGATGAGAGCATGATCTGCCCTCACACCTAACTGAGCTCTTGAGAGGCACGCCGCCACAAAGTCTGGCGGCAGCAAGGGTCTGAACCTGGCGCCGGTGAGGAAAAGCTCTGCGTTCTTTGCGCTGCGGGCGGCTAAGCCAGGCACTTCTGTTCGAACATCACCGCTGCGTCGCCCTCCTTGCCAGCCAGAAACCCCACGGCGGCAGCGTAGGCATCGTCTTCACCTCTGGTCTTGTATCGGAGGCTCAACGTTAAGCCCTTTGTGCACGTGCAGGAACGAGGTTCATGATGTAGCACCTTCCACGTGCCCGGTGTCCGGCACAGCTCCAACTGCAGTGCGCCTTTGCTTCTCTAAATGGGCAGGCAAGGCTCTACTGAAATACTGGTAGCTTGGCTGTAGGCTGAATCTTCCGGGATGTTGCACTGTCACAATTGACCTGCCGTGGCCAAGCTCACTCATGTGCAAAAGCAGGAGAGACCTCGATGTTCTGGCCCCCACAACACGTTTGAAAGATGACGCCATGTCATGTCAAAGAATCAAGGCTGCATGTGTTCGTCCCTGCACCGGTGGAACTCGACACTCACGAAGACATGCAAAGCTACTCGACCCCCAAGGCATCACAAGCTACACATCTTGCGGAGCTGAGTACTGTAGTTAGCTGAGTCCATCGACAAAACGCAGACAGTGGCCAGGCAGTTGCAACAAGGCTGGAGTCCAGCCACTCGGCCTGTGTCATGACGGTGAAGTCGAAGATGTACAAACTGTCATAGCCTGCATTCCAGCCTGCACGCACATCACATGACGCGTGTTGAATGTTCTGACTTCCGTGCACCTTCCTGAGCCTGCGGCTAAGCTGCTTTGTGCTGAACGGCGTCTCTCCTGCAGCGTAGGCCTGAGCAGCTCGCAGGTTGCTCTTGCAAGAAGCGTAACAAAGTTGGAAACTGTCAGGGGCCTTCTCCAACAGCTCTGCATCTACGTCGGCAAAAGATTCCCACCCGTCGGCATTGGACCACCATCTCCACACCTCAGAGAAAGCTCTTCCTGGTCCGTGCCTGGCTCCATTTCTCATATCTTCCCAGGCTCTCAGGGCGCTGCAGGCTTTGTGGCAGCGACATCGTGAGATGCTGGTGCAACTGCAGGAGCGGGCGTGCCTCAAGCCCAAACCGGGGTATTCTTTGCTTCCGAAGGCAAGAAACCAGCATGAGAGCCACCGGCCTGTGAGACGGATCTTCCGCACCTTCTTGCTGTCAAGGTTGGTCCTGGCGCGACACGTGGCGCGATCTCAGATCCTTATACCTTACACCGGCACAAACAAAGCAAACAAATCTCACATCGAAAACAACGCAAACAATGTTTCAAGTATCGCAAGGCCAGGCGCACTGCGTCATCGCAGCGAAGTCGAGCTCGTATTTCGTCTGGTAGCACACATTGAAGGAAAATGCTGTCGTGATCACCTGCGGCATGAGAAACCACAAAACACCCCCAACTATTCAGAGAATTTCAGAGGGATGAGTGGCGGGAGCGGCCTTGCCACTGGCACCAGCATCCAGATAGAGAGAGTCAAGCCTCAGAACATCTCAGAACACTCTAGCCTAATTAGCAAGAACTGCGCCTCAGGCCTGCAAGATGCGGACCAGTAATTAGTGCAGTTACCCACCACTTTCGCTTCGGTAAAAGTGTAGTAAGCCGCTTGTTGCTGCCAGATTCCCTCCACCAACTTCATAAAGCGATGCACGGCGACGCTAGCCAACTTTGGACGACACAGCTACGAGGATCGAACAGATCCAAACGGTGCAGGATTTTTCAGCATGCCTGAGATAAAGGAAGCCACCGATGCCCGCGGACCAAATCTGAAAAGAACAACATGCCTACTCTTAGGCGGAGGTCCAGGAAATTCAAGGCAAAGCAGGGTACTGAATCTGAGCGAACATTTTCCAGGATTCTTGGCTGGCGTTGATATCTGCTTTTCTCCTTGCAAACGTCTATACCCATAACTACGCGACAATGCAAGCAGCTGTAATCGTGCGCAACAGTGATCCTAGGGCTTCATCCATAGGTTTGTTTCAATGGGTCGGGACCAGTCGCACCTGGTTTCTGACTTTTTGCACAGGTGACCACCTGCAGCGTCACCATGATCAAGAGCAAGTGTTAGGTCGAGGCTCTGATTTGACAAGTCATGACTCGTGACAACAACAAGTGTCTTTAAAAATCAAACAGAAAGAGGCAAGCCAATAACCGTTCAAAACCGGTCAAGGCAACCGCCACAAACTTCGCCGCTAGCTTGGCCTCTTGTCTGAACATGGGTCGGGATGCGCATGAGACTTGGTGCCTGGCAGCTGCGCATCCTGAACAAGCAAAAGCAACGACAGTTTCGGCCACTCCAGGTAGTTGCAAAGCAAGCAGTCCTCGGGATCATAAGCCTTCCATGTTGCACGATCCTTCGGAACACACAGCGGCAACGACACGCAGAAACCTGCCCCATCACAGAAACCTTCCACTCCCACAACGTAGTTGCCGCGGTCGAGCTGGCTGAGCCTGTGCAAATCTGCGCAAATCTGCACAAGACTTCATTTAAATCCCATCGCAACTGGACGCTACCCGCGAGCACTATGCGGACGCAGGCGCCTTGGTAGCCGCCTCTCTCCACACGCGACGCTTCGAACGTTCCCATCACTCTCGGACCCTTGCTTATTTGACTGGCTTCAAGCGGGTTTTGGCAGATCTTGCAAACACTTTGCAGCAGTAGCTGTAGTGAGAACCAAGTATTCAAAGGCTTGACTGACCGGATGTCACCTGAACTACGACATGGGTAACTAAGATATTTCAAAGAGCCCAACGCAGCGGCCAAAAAAGCTTCTACACGTGCGATATGGTTTGGCACGCAGGAAACAAAATCGTTGCTTCACTTCCTCTGGTCAAGGCAGAGCATCCGCTGCTGACCAGACGCTGTATGGCTTTGAGCTTGCTTGCAAGGCCTTAGGGCTAGTTTCGAAGCTTTCTGAACAACAATCTTGCAAGGCCTTGGAGCTAGCTTCGAAGCTTTGTGGCCAACAATCTTGCAAGGCCTAGGGGCTAGTTTCGAAGCTTTGTGACCAACAAGCTTGCAAGGCCTTGGGTCTATTTTCGAAGCTTTATGGCCAACAATCTTGCAAAGTTTCGAAGCTTTGTCACCAAGAATCCTGTAAGTCCTTGGAGCAAGTTAAGCAAGATTCGAAGCTTTGTGACCAACAATCTTGCAAGGCCTGGATTTGGGCTGGAAGCGAAGATCCTGCACTCTCCGTTTCAGAACTTGTAGCAAATCTCGAGGTATTGAATTCTCAACCTGATGCGGCTGCAAGCCGAATCTTCACTTAACCCTAGAACAACATTGCCATTTGTCCCAGGACTGCTATGTTCAATCGACATCAGAGTCGGCAGAATTGATACATGTATGCAAGATTCACTGACTGTACCCGGCAGCGTGGCCTCTGCTACGTTGGATCCAGGACAATAATGGAGTATGGGGATTGAGGCTACATCCAGAACCCGGCTAGGCGCCCATGGTGCTCAAGCTACAACTACCCCCTCCGCACGTCCAGCTGTTTCTCGCAGGGCACCCATACTGATGGCGTTGTCCAGTGCTGGAGACCCACTTCAGATCTAACAAACTTGGTCTGTATGATCAGGGAGGTGGCATCGCCAGCTGCGTGGGGAACAGCGAGTGTTTTAGTGTCCCCACCTCGTTTGATTTATGCAGTGTCGCTCCCATGCTCCAGTGATCGCCGATGCGGTTGGTTGGTGCAGACCCCACGTGGGCTGTACCGAATAAGGAAGCTGTCAACAGCATGGCTTTTACAAAGCCTTGCTTCAGCAGCTTCCAGTTGTTGTGCTGATATTTCTGGTATGGTGTTTGTGTCTTTGCAGCCTGACAAGGCAGCCAGCTCCGAGACGCAACGGGGCCTGAGTGGCTGCTAGTGTACACTTATGTAAGCTTCTCCAGCGAACTGCTCACTCCTGCGAAGATCATGGAAGATCCCTAGACAACACGGCCGCAAGCCAGTCTCGACGCGAAAGGTGCCAATTCGGCACTTAAACCACCAACTCGGTTAAAAGCAGCGATGTGGATCATGTCTGCAATACAGTTTTTTTTTTTTTGTAAGGGTCTTGCAGGCGAATTACAGCTTCTGCCAAGAGACCCCTAAACGGCCACCGCTACATCATGCACATATAACGCAGATCTCGAGAATGAGGTGAAGTCAAAATTCTGCAGTGGCGACGCCTTTGCAATCGACTTTTGACGTGATTCACGACAGGCGTAGGCAAGCTGCTGTACATGAAAACTTCCGAGGGCAGGTAAACTACTTATCGATACTGATATGAAGTAGGGTATATGTTTCTTGTACCCCCAAAAGGACGCCCAATATATACACGCACCCAATAACAGAAATATAAAACCCTACTTCATATGTGCCCGCTTCTGGCACAAAATGAATCGAAACAACGACAAAACTGCACTTCCTGACCACTATTGTGCTCTTCTGTTGTCAGGGGCCCTGAAAGAGCAGGGCAAGCACAGGAACTGTGGGCGACAGCCATTCACGCGCTGGCTTCGTCGAGCAGGGCTGCATGTGGGTTTCAATGTAAAGAAGAAAACTGAACTGCACGACACTACGTCGTACCTCTGGTTGCGGGACAAGCGAAGGATGAGTTCGGTCATCATAGCATTGCCGAGGGCTGTTTGGGCAGTGGATGCCGTGTATTGCTGGGGGCTGTTTGGGCAGTGGATGCCGTGTAGCCCGTCAAGTGTGGATTGTATGTACGAAAGTACAGGTATGCATGCTGAAGTTTGGTAAGCTGCAGTATACACCGCTATACACACAACAAAATGCAATGGACCTGTTGTTCTGAAGAGCGCAAGAGATGCTGGCGCTTGTGTACTACAATCCTGCAAGAGTCCCGACGTGTCAAGCTGCAAGATCCGGCTGGCACACGATCTCATTTTTTGAAAGCGTTGCAAGGTGTGGATATTTCTGTCCGCCTGATCCCGCTGGCAGGCGCTTGTTTAACAAGCAGCGCTGGGTTATGGGGAAGACCTCATCGGCAAGAATGAGGAGTCTAGACTGCTGTACAGAGCATACTCGATGATCTATTTTTTAATCTACAGGTATCACTGAAACACAAAGCGGAAGTTGGGATGCTTTCGGTGGTTTTCAGCCACGCACTTCCACAGACAAGCCGTCAAGAAGGGAACATAGTCGAGGAGCATAGACGAATCGGGCTCCATCAAGAACTTCTGGTGATGGCCTGGAGCATGATCTCGCACCATGGTCAGAAGAGAAATCCAGCCTCTCGCGTCATCGTACGCCCCCCCTAACGGTAGGTATTCGGCCCGGAACCGATTTGCGCTGTCTCCAAATAGTTTCCACCAGCCCCTGCCATCACTCGCAACGTTCTGACCATCTTCGGCGTGCAGGCCAGACGTGCGGGCTGATTCGTAAGCTTCACCAAGGGCTTCGGTAATCTTGGCCTTCTGTTTCTGGTGGTCGTTCTCAGAAAGATTTTGCAGCCAGCTTCCCACGTTGGCAATGAAGGAGATGCATGTGTCACTCGACCAGAAGAAGGGATGGCGCAGCGCATCGGCCAGCGAAAGGCGCTCCGAGGGCACCTTCTTCGTCATGCGTTTGATCAAGTCCCCCAGTAGCCAGCCACTATGGGGAGCTGCTTCCTGAAACTCGGAGACCTGCTCCTTCACAGTCTTTAGACAACTGATGTTCTCCATTGTGCAAATCATCAGGGACAGCATGGTCCTGCCCAGGGAGTAGACATCGCTGTCAACAGAGTAGCTGTAGCTCGCTTCGTTGTTGGGACTTTGCATCTGCATAAGCATCTCGGGCGCCACAAAGCCATTGTCTATGGAAGCTCCAATCACAGTCCGGCCGTGCTGAGCATGCTTGGCTGCCAGAAGGCGGGACACCCCCACATCAATAAACTTGATGTTGCCAAAGACGTCAATCATGATGTTGCGAGGAGAGATGTCACGGTGCACCTTGCATGACCGAGCCACTGAGGGTAAAAAAAACAATTCTTGAGAGAAAAAACACGTTGCGAGCATATTTTTTTCCAGCACAACAGGCTGCAGTCCTGCAATCTCAGGCACCAAGATGTTGTTTGAGACGTCCGGCACATGGGTGACTTCAAGCCCTGCTTGTAGCAGGTTCTTTCCGAAGCTTTGCAGCCAGAACACATGCTCAAACTTGCCACGATACTCCTTCCACAGAGGAAGCACTCCAGCAAGTTGAGAATTGAGGCACTCCATGACTATGGCACGGCTTTTGCTGTTTACCACATCACTGAAGGGATCCACCAGCTCCAGCAAGGCAATGAAATCGACAAGTGTGCGCAGGCCCTTCCGCTGGCGCATGAAGCTGGTCTCCCTCTCAATGCCTTCGACACCCAAGACCTTCTCAGCATCAGGTTTGAAGACTTTGATGGCCACTGGAAGCTTGCTCAGAAGGTCGAAGCCCAAGTACACGCCCTTTACGCTTGTTCCGGTTCCCAAGCAACATTGCCACAGGATGACGTACCGAGGGTGATCTTCTGGCACCTTGGAGTAGAAAATGGTTCCCTTGACATGCTCTTTCCAATGGTCCCTGATGGTGGGGATGGATTCCCAATAGAAGCTCTCAAACTCGGCGTCATCGTACGGCGGCGTGCCATCGAAGTACATTTTCCTGTACTCCAAGAGGTCTGGCACGGCTGCCTGCTGGAGAACATGCTTGATAGTCTCCTGCGCTTGCACCTCCCGGGTCTCCTGACCAGGAGGCATTGAGTTCTCGTCGTCATCCTCAGAAACTTCCGGGTCGGCTGACGCTTCATCTGCTTCATCTTGCAGATTGCCTTGTTTGTTCCGCTCTTCTCCAGTGTGGCCGGTGGCCCTTTCTGGGCCGTCACGGCCTCCAGCACCGGATCGAATCAACGGAGACGACTCAGCACAGGGATGCGCATAGTCGCAAATCATGTGGGTCAAATATTTGCAGTTGCGCTGCTCTGAGCACTTTAGCAAGCGACCGCCCCGGAGGACACGTAAAGCACCGGCGGTTGCTGCAATTGCGCTCGAGGTGATCTCTTCCTCACGCTGGTCTATTAGTACTTTAACCAGAGGAGGAACGCCAGGAAGGAGATCAGCAAGGCTGAACCCAGCAGGGATCTCAGGCCTGAGTTCCTTCCGGCTGTGGGCATAAGGACAACGCTTGGGGCACGGGAACGGACCGTGCCGTGGGTCGATGTCATCATACCAGTGGTTGCGACATTGCAACCTGCGGTACGACTTCAAAGCATCCTCGCGGTCCATGTGCAAACGACTGCACCTCTCGCCATGGGGGCACCCATTTACTCCCCAATGGGGGAAGCAGGTAAGCACACACTGCGGTACCCCCTTGGGGGCATAGGTGCATTCCACGCACGCTTCGGCCAAGCCCAGTGTAGGGTGGCATATTAAGGAGCTGACGGGAACAGGGAAGCCCATACCATTCTGCTCGCCAAGCGAAACCAGAGTCTGCAGCACAATGACATTTTGCTTGAGGTACTCGCGTATAACGGCACATTCATCTTCCGAGCAGGAAGCTGAAGATTTGCCGCGCGGAAAGAGCTGTTGGATGTGAGGCTCGTTCACCTGCAGCACCCAACGCGCCAACTTGGGCATGTCCAAGCGGCTTGTGGAGGAACGCCGCAAAGGTTCCTCAACCCGGTCTTCCCAGCCTTCCCTTGTTGGAGAATCTGCCCATGCGCGCTCACGTGCCTTGCTTTGGGAGCTGACATCCATGCATAGTCTTACTACATAGCTTGATTGCAAGTTTCAGGGGTTCATTGGCTCGGTGACTTCGTCACTGCAGCATCGCAGAAATGCAATTGCTCACTGTGCCCTGATCGAAATCGAAGTCGACACCCCCAAATTCTGCTCTGAGTAATACAGACTCGCTCAAAGTCGGTTTCCAACTCCTACCAAACACTCAAACTAAGCTCCTCCGCCACCCCCCTGCCCGCCCATCCCAGCACGCAACAGCATGAGTGACGCATCGCTCCCCTTGGTCCAACACTCCCCAGCCTCGCTCCCCGGTGGACCAATTCAAGCATCACCCACCGAAGCCCGAAGTCAAGGTAGATCTCGAACTCGCCCACCCCACATGTACGTCGCCTACTCCAAAAAGAGTGCCAACTTGCACTCCGCCCCCGACCCCACGGATGCTCCAACTCAAAGAGGACGCGCAAAGGCCCAGGCCTGCTCGGCGCCACCAGCTTGCCGATCTGGGATGACAGCTTCCTGCACGCACATCGTTCTCAAGTCGGCAACAGCTCTTAAGTCCTCTAGCAGACCTGAACTGCGCCAAAACCGTGCTCCGATCCTTCTTGGCTGGGTATGCTGCACGGGGCGGCGCAGCTTGCGACAATGGCTCCTTGGCCTCCTTCTCTTCCTCCATCTCTTCCGGCACCTCTGCCTTCTGGGCTATCTGGGCTTTCAGCCATGCATCAAGCTTGGAAGAGCACTTCTTCAGCTCCTCTTTGAGCTCTTCGCTCAATTGGATGATGTCCGGATTTTTCCCCACGAAAGCTGGCAGCATATAACCTCTGCGCACATACGCACTGAAAGCAGTGTTGCAAAGATCTGAAAACACGTCTGCCTTGATGGCCATGGGCCAAATTGGGCAAGCCTGCTTGCGAAGCCGCCATATCTCATCTTTGGGACTGAAAGCTGAAGCCACATGTAGCAAGAACTCGTCTGGTTGCAACGGGTCTGGTTCTGTCAGTACGAACTCCCGAGGTTTGTTCTCCAGCTGAGGACTGATTCCGATACAGCAGCTCGATTGTGCGTCTGCCCTTGTCCTCCAGACACCCTTCTTTTTGCCGTGGACGCATTTTGCTGCCCAGTTCAGGAAGGATTCCATCTCGCTGGCCGTGACATTCGAAGGCCACAACTTCTCCGTCACCAACTTCTTCTCGAACCAGCCCTTTCGGGGCATGTAATTCGGAGTAGGATTCATGAAGCTCCGCACGATTTTTTCCCGGTAGTTTTTTAAGAAATCATCCTCGTTCAGCCCCAATGCCTTGAATCGCCGGGGCGGTTCAGCCATGACTTGCAAGCTTCGAGAAGTTCATCGCACTTGAGCCCATATCGGCAAATACCAAACCCGCAATCCCAGAGGACAAAATCAATTGTCAGGGCGCGGCCTTAACAGGAGGAATTCTCTTGACCAATCACAAGCAAAGAACGAGGCCCAGAACCTCTCTCTTCTCCCAGACCTCATGCGGGAAGAATACCCTCTACGCAACACTTCCAGGCCAAGAATGCGGATATAGAGTCAGCCTTACTTGTCCTTTCTTTTTTGCCGTTGCAAGCATGCCTCCAAACGAGGCTCAGAGATGCTGGGCAGCACTTTGCAAAGACGCCGCTGGTCCCAATGCAAACAGATTGAAGCCCAGGATTGCGTACCTAAGTAAAAATTTTGCAAGGGTAGGTGCGACAGGCGCCCGAAGACCAACAGAGGTCTCCAGGCAGTCGACTTGTCTGAGCCCTCTGGTCATGGCGCTCCTGCACTCAAGCTCTCCTCAACCTGGCATGAGGCCACCAGGCCACGGTGAGTTTCAGCTTGCAATTCCAGCGGCTCTGGTGATGCTGGACATACCCGACATGCGCAGGCATATGCTGCAGAACTCATGCTGGGTGAGCTGGAGTTTACCAGTCCTACCATGCATGTCACATGCGAAAAATCGCCTTCAAATGTGAGACCATCTCGGGCACTGGGGAGCTTGAGGGCTGTGTCATACGTCGATATACTTGCTCAGCTCCGCCAATCAAGCACACCATGCTCGGAGATGTTGGGAAACCTATCTGTTCTCAGACGCTGGTGATACCTCCTCTGTGCTTTTGGACTCATGTAGGATGCGCTCAAAGCCCCTAGGGGTGTTCACATAGAAGAAAAGCCGGCCACTCTCCAGGAGACTGGCAATATCACCGAGACGGCTGTTGATTTGCTGCTCGGCATGGGCAACCTGCTGCAGGTTGCGTTGATCTGTTTGCTTGAAGACGGGATTTGGCAAAAGGGAGCTCTCCCAAGGCACTCTCACTGCTCTGCCAATCCTGTGCTAATCCGAGGCCCGCCTCTGCTTGCGCAAATGTGACCTTCACGCCCCAGGAGCTCTGAGAGTTCGACGGAGGCACCTGAAAACAAAGATGAAGGCGTGAACAACAAAGTGTGGATCACGAGGGACTTCCCTAGCGCCGGGGACGGGACGGGGGATGCGGGACGGGGCGGGGCGGGGCGTCGGGACGGGACGGCAATGGACGGACATAATCATATTCATCACAATAGCTAGACTCAAGGAAAGTAATACGTGCAATAGAAAATACTAATATTTCTACTAGAGATATAGAAAATACTGCAAATCGTACAGTAGTGAAAAAACAAGAATAATCGCAATAGTAATAAGAATAACAAGATACTAACAAACATAGAAATTAAAACACATACAATAAAAGCACAGAAGCATACTAGTTAGAGATAATAAAAATTATTGAAAATATAGTGGTAATTGAAATGAGAATACGAGTGATAACAACAATACGAAATAATCGTACTACTCAAAGCAATAGTAGTAATACAACTAATACTACTAGTACTAGTAATCGGGATGAGCCAAAATAGTGATGATAACAAGAAGTCAGAAAACTATTGCGGTAGTAACAGTCATACTTAGCATATCAATAGCAGTTTTCCCACGCTCGTCCACAGATACGTGTGCTCGCTTCACGCGAACATTTTAATACGGAACGAATATGCAACTCTCAACAGTGTGTAGCTCTTGCGAAGAAGCCGCTTTGAATGGGAAACACCGAGCGCTCTCAGCGGCCGACAAGCTCCATGCCGCTCCCTTCTTTTGCACCGGTCGGCGGAAACCTTCAGAGGCGCATCTCTCTTTTTGATCTGCCTGCTGCGTCGCGCAACCGTCGCAATCGATGTACAGCCGATGTACATGGCCAAGCCAAGTTGCGATCTGTTCAGAAGCTTACCTCTTTCCTGCTTCTGCACTGACGGCCTCCCAACAGCAAGGCGCTGCCATGCGGCAAGCCGTGGGCGACTCTCTATTCACAAGGTGGAGATCCGCTCTGAGCTGAATTCCCTAGAGGCTTCTAAAGGTTTTATAGCCAAAGCCTTTTTCAAAGTTTTGGATAAGGAAAGATACCTAGCATCTGTTCTTATCCATAACCTCGAAGAGCTCAACTTGGACATTTGCTCAGAAGATACTTGTCGGTGCTTGGCTCTGTGACGGGGTTTGGGGCCCGGGTCAATCGGGATGCCTCACGGCACGAGTCAGTCCGCGACAAAACCTGGGAGAAAAACAAATTAGATCATTCCTCCTCGATTCACTCCGCATCACATGAATTGCCAGATTCAAGAATCCGCCGACCCCGGCAAGCTGGGCGAGCGCCAGCGAAGGGCTTCTTCCGCTCTAGCCCTTCTCGCCTACTCGCCGACCCCCCGCCCCCGCCCCGCACTCCCGCGGCCTGCCCGTCTTGACCCCACCCCCCCTGCCGCTCCCACACCCCCACACCACGCCAAGAGTTTCTCTCTTTCTGATTTAAAACCGCGAGCCCAAGAACTTCTCGCCTATCCCTGACGGCTTTTGGTGACGCCCAAACCCTTGCCCCCCACCCACCCCCCGACCCCTTCTCGCCTACCCCCGCTCCACCCGCCTCCTCAAAAAATCGCCAGAGTTTTTCCTTTTTTGGTTTAGAACTGTACGAGCCAAAGTATTTGGCCCCCCACCACCCCCACCACCCCACCCACCCCCAAACCCCTTGCTCAGGAGGCTGCGCTGGGCCAGGCCGAGGCGGGTCGCGTAGCGTTAAAATCCGCCGACTCGGGCCGAAGTTGTATAGGTTGTCAGAACAGGCACCCCCCTCCTAATCCTCCCCCCAAGCCCAAAGCCATATGTCGGACCCCTTTTTTTGCCTGAAAAGGGAATCCTGCGTGGGCGACCACAATCTAAAAGCGGACGGTCCGCCAAGACCAGGAGCAGTTGAAGCCCCGCCTAGCAGGCCCCCCCCCCCTGCCCCGCAACCCTCAACCTTGAACCTTGAACCTTGAACCCTAAACCCAAAAAAACCTTGCTTGGGGTCCAGCGACTTGGGCGCTGCGGAATCACCATGCTCACGCGGATGCGCTGGGCCGGGCCGAGGCGGGTCGCGTAGCTACTGTGCACGAGGCGGAGCATTTCTCCAAAGGGCAATGGGGCAGATTCACAAACTTTTGCACTCGACTCGAGCTCCCCAGCAGGACATGCACGCTAGGCCATAACACGGCTGCCCAGCAGAAACACTCCTGCCCCCCAATCAGAGACATCATAGCCTTAGATTTTGCTTGTGAAAATCAATCGTAGCGACTGCGTATCGCACATTCTCGCCCTGGCGTGCCTGTCCTGCTGGGGGACTCGAGTCGCATGCACGAGCTTGTGAATCAACCCCATTGCCCTTTCGAGAGAGCAAAAGAAGTGCTCCACCTCGTACACAAGCATTCCAATATTCTGGAATACATTGATCAATTGAGAGTATCATGTGATGTTGTTTGAAGCGAGGAATGATCAACATTTGTTTTTCTCCCAAGTCTTGTCGCGGACCGACTCGTAGTGTGAGGCATCCGGTCGACCCACCCCCAACTGGCACAAAGGCACAGGGCTAAGCACCGGCAAGTTTAGCGCTTGGTGGCCTCATTGAAAAAGGCCTCAAGTCTCTGAATAAATTCAGCTTTGAGAATACGAGTATGAGGATCTAAGCTTGATGAATCTTCATGAAGCGAAAGTCAACCCAAGGAAGCTTCTGCCTCAGGAGCCTGCGGAGGGATGTCGTCTGTCCATCACCTGGCCAGGGTCAGGGCTTGCTATGATGGCATGCTGCGCTTCAAGCCATCACAAAACAAAATTGAAGATCCCCGCCCAAAAGATTCGGTGGAGGATTCTACGTACAGAAGACCCAGCCCCCACACCCGAGGTTGGGGGAGAAAAAACACGAAAATCAGCACAAGCCCGGACCTGCAGATCCCAGAAAGTACATGACCTCGGCACTCTGCGGGGCTTAGACTTGGTCAGTCGCCGACTCGCTTCAAAGACCAGCGGCGGGCAGTGCAGGCTTGTCCGCGTCCCAGGGCAGGGTGACGTTGAGCTTTTTGGTCTTTTCATTCGGTTGCTTCGCTCCCTTCGTTCCCTTCCTCACCGCTTTACACAGCACGTCCACTCCCATGGTAACCATGCCGAACCCCGCTGTCCCCGAAAAGTATTCTTGTCAAGCAGAGTTATTGGGCAGGATGTGCACAGAGTCTGAGCATGTCTGAGCCTCTCGGGCTTCGTCTCGAATTCAGCCTGGGTCTTGCGGACCTTCAGCTTCTTGCATCTCGTTCTTCAAGGACTTAGACTGCACTAGACGTTGCTTTGACTGGTGAGCCAGTGGCCTTCTGGTTCACGATCCTCAATGGGAATGATCTCGGATCTGGAACCATGGCGTTACCATCAGCAAACAGTGGCAGGGAGCGCCAGTTCCGATCGTAGACTGCATGCTCTTTCTTGCAGCGCTTCTCCATGTAGTTGCAAAGCTCAGTTTGCCAGTCTTCACTGTATTCAATTGTTTTGTAGGCCTAAGTTGGAGCATGCGCTGCAGTCCAAAACAGGGGCTGGGGGCTTCACTTGTTGCCCGGAAACTGCGGAAGCGCAAGTGCTTAGCCGGACAAGCCTTCAACCTGCACACCAGGAGCATCAGGCCGTGGCACGTACAGAAGTTCCACCAGTTTGCACAGCCCAGTCAAGTCGTCGTAGATCGACCCGACACCATGCTTACATTCCACGATCCTCTAAGAAGCACTGCGCTGGCATCGCTGCGCTTTGGAACATGACCAGCTTGAACACTCTGCTTTGTGCAATATGTGACGAATTCGGGCGGAATTTGGCCAAGTGGCGCAGCGAGCTGCCCTTCTCGCAGGAGCAGGCCATCGACCTCGCCCTTAGTGCCTGCAAGATATCAGGTCTGGGAGTCCCCTATCTTCTTTGGTGAAGAACTTTTTAGTCCTGCGCCCTGTAGACCCTGCACTTGGTGGACGCCTAAATGGACAAACACCTACTGCTTTAGGGCTGTTGCGTCTAGCGGCTGGGATAAGCTTGCTTTTTCTCTGCTGCGCACCTCGAGGCCTGTCGCCGACGACGTTGAGGCTCCTCTCGTAGTTCCTCGGATTCTTGTGTTTCCAACTACTCCTTTGCGCCTTCTACATCCCCCCAGGCATGTACGGAAAGTATCCCAACAGGCTGGGCGTCACTCCACCCAAGCCAGGCAGAAGATGACACAAAGTGCCTGCCAGTGCCGAACGACTGCAACATTTTTCATGTGAGACGTGTTGTAGGCACATCATCGGGGTACCACATTCTAGTATTCTAGAAGGTGGGCTGAAAAGGATGAAGGTTCTTGGCCCGACATACAACCGGCCACCGCCTGCATGTTTCGCAAGCCAGCCACCTAAGCCGGGTCTTGCCCCGAAATGCGACGGTTTGAGTTTATCAACGAACACGATCTGTGCGAAAAACTATATCTGCATTGGACCGCCCTCCCGATAAGCGACAGTCACATTCGGCTGACAGAAGGCCAAGGGCAAACTTCCTCAATTGCGTCGAGAATCTTGTGTCGTCTTCATGCCTATCACCATTCCCATCGGCCTCCTGAGCAATGTTCTCGCAGAAGCGGCTCTGTGCACTGCAGGTGGATATGCTGTACTGTCCACCCTACATACGGTGAGAGCATGCTCAGACTTGTTCGGCTTCCACACAACGACATCACAGCGCAGTCCCCTCAAAATTCCGCCTTGGTCCTGCTGGCAACCACCTGCACATCCAGAGAGTGAGCGTGCATGTGGGGAAACTGAATGCAAACAATCAGACAGTGACCGTCTGAAGTCGCCTCCGGGACGAGGAAGGAAGAAAGCCACTTTGGTAGCCAGGCGTCCCTCCTCAAGAAAGCACAATGGTCTCACGGTTGCCCTTTGGAGCGATTTCTGCAGGCTTTATGAGAGGTTGCAGCCCTCAAGCACGAGCACAGAGCAAACCTTGCATGTGGCAAGAACCCTGGTTTCTGGGAGCACCGGAGTTCGGGCCAAAGTTCGGGCATTCGGAATCCATTCATGGCACGGCCCTCCTACGCTAGCACCCTGGGTCCTTTGGTCTTTCAGCAAAGTTCGCGCTTTCTCGACGGCATCCCACACCTTCTTGATGTCCTGCCACTGCGAAATGCGGCTCAGACCACACATGTTTCTTTTTGAGAGAAACTGCTCCTCGATGTTCCCCGGTTTGCTGGTACAGCGAGCTACCATGCCCCAACCGACAGTTCCATCAACGGCGCCTGCTGCGTTCTGGCCAGCTTCTCCTGCACAACTCCACGCCACGCCCCGCCACGACAGTGCATCGGCGGACATCGAGTCACGCAAGTCCTGCTTCATCTTGTCATCAGCCCTCGGATTCTTCGCTAAATCGTCTTTCGCCTTCTCCCTGGGTGCCGAGATGCGCCAAGTGTCCGGAGCAGCAAGTTGGGCAGCTAAACGCCAAATCCCAAGGCCACCCAAACGCACTCCGTGGGTCTCTGCTCAACATGAACGAACCGGCCTGTCATGAACCACCCACGACACCCCTTCATCCTGACAGCCCCTTACCACTGATGCTGCTGCTGCTGCGCAGACCTGTCTTCTCAAAGACTGCCATGAGGTTCCCGAGGGCGCCCTTAGGATCAAGCATGTGAACGAGTGCTGCCATCCACACCACCACCAAGGGCAGTTTACCGTTTGTTCACAGGAGTGAGGTCTTCTGAGGCTTGTGAGTGTCTTCAAGTGGTGACAGGCCAAAGCCATCTTGCATGCAAGCTGCATCATTTCCAGCAAAGTAGGAAAGCGTCAGGGCCCTGATGGGTGAGTGGAAAGATCATGCAGCTGCATTGGTTGGAACTACATGTCGCAGAGCGCTCTGGCATTGCGACATCCTGCAGTGGTGAGTAACATCCACATGCACAGAGCATCATCCTGACAAAGCTGCTACGCAGCGCGCTGCCTGAATTTTGCCCCCTTTGTCGTCTTGACATTGGCATACTTGGCCCCAAGGTATGGTTCCAGACATTTCCGCACCACCTGGTCTTGGCGACATCACACATGCAGCGCGGGGTTTGGTCTTGAGCAGCGAATCACAATGCGGAAAATTAAAATAATCAGGGCCCCTGCAAAGATGACTACATCGATACGGCGTCATTGGTAAAAAGGAGTTCAACGTGCGACCGTTTGCCTGATAGCGTTTCGGGGGTTAAGGTTTACAGTTACAGGGCAATGAATGGGCATGTCGGATCTAAGCCCCCAGTGTCAAAAACTTGCACGCACAGGCACAATCAGAGTCACTAACGTATGTTTCCGAACTGGCCTCCGTGGCATCTTCCTCCGCCTCTGTGGCACTTGGCATCTCTGCGAGCCGGCAAGCACTTGCAAAAACTCCAACCCCTAAACCGCACAAACCCGACTCAAACCAACCTTTGCCCAAACCTAACATGATGCACCGGGCGGAACCTTGGTTTTTCCGAAAGGTTTAAGAAAACTTGCCGCATCAGGCACGACAAGCCCGTGCAGATAGGTAAGTTTTTCCAAAGTCTTGCGAAAGCAAGATTGGTTCAAGGGAGCACAACGAATAGGTGTCAGCAAATTGAAGTTACGCACCAAACGAAGTTAAAGTAAATGGAGGAAATAGACACAAGAGGCTTAAGTAAATTGAAAACATCGGGTTGAGGGGGCGGGAAGGGAGGAAGCGGGAAAAAGCCACCCGCATGAACGGAGATGAGGAGACAAAGGGAGACAAGACGCCCAGGAACCCGGCAAAGGCCACCCACATGAAGAGAGACAAAGGGAGACAAATTGAAACAGGTCGCCCAGGAACCCGGCAAAGGCAAAGGCCACCCACATGAGGGGAGACAAAGGGAGACCATGGGAAACAAAGAAAAGCGAGACCTTCAGTAACCCGGCAAAGGCCACCCACATGAAGGAAGACTAAGGGAGACAAAGGGAGACAGAGACGCCCAGGAACCCGGCAAAGGCCACCCACATGAAGGGAGACAAAGGGAGACAAGACGCCCAGGAACCCGGCAAAGGCCACCCGCATGAAGGAAAGCGAGACAAAGGGAGACAAAGGGAGACACAAGGAGACGAAGGGAGACAAGACGCCCAGGAACCCGGCAAAGGCCACCACATGAAGGAAGACGAAGGGAGACAAAGGGAGACAAGACGGTCAGGAACCCGGCAAAGGCCACCCACATGACGGGAGACAAAGGGAGACAAGACGCCCAGGAACCCGGCAAAGGCCACCCGCATGAAGCGTAACAAAAGGAGACAAGGGGAAACAAAGGGAGACAAGACGCTCAGGAACCCAGCAAAGGCCACCCACATGAAGGAAGACTAAGGGAGACAAAGGGAGACAGAGACGCCCAGGAACCCGGCAAAGGCCACCCACATGGAGGGAGACAAAGGGAGACAAGACGCCAGGAACCCCGCAAAGGCCACCCACATGAAGGGAGACAAAGGGAGACAGAGACAAGACGCTCAGGAACCCGGCGAAGGCCACCCACATGAAGGGAGACAAAGGGAGACAAAGGGAGACATGGTGCCCAGGAACCCGGCAATGCTCACCAGAATGCCGGCAATTCCTTAAACGAATTGAGGACCCCAACAGTAGAACTGTTTGGGAAATAGATTGGTGAACCACGATCCCACATGCACCCGGGACATGCCAGATGAGTTTTTCGTCACCCGCGCGATTTTCCATACCACAATAGACTTGACCCCGCGCGGAAAAGACATAGACCCCGGATGCAGGCCCCGGATGCAAGACACCAGAAGAAATGCCCAACGTATCCCAACATGTTAAGCTTTTCACCAAGATTCGGGCCCACGTTAAACTTGAGACGCAGATTCGAGACAAAAGCTTTTGAGCGCCCCAACATGTTCAACAATCCTACACTGAGGGTCGAAAACAAGTGAATCGAAGAATTCACGAACGAGGACAAATGCAGACTTCAACACGACGGGCAACCATTGTCAAAGGCTTTTTTCGAGCGACGAAAGATGCATTGGGCATGCCCCGGCATGCATGTGGGATCATGGTTGGTCGCAAAACACCACTCTAATTCTACTTTTGGATTTTGTTTTCATCTGTTTACACGCTGCCCAAGTGACGTGGACGACCGGACGCTCTGTGAATGCAACGGGCGAAGAATGACGATGTCACCCTACGAGCACGAAGGGAAAGGACGGGCGACAAACTTCTAGGGACCTCACCAAACCCTACGAGCACAAACGGAGGGGACACACGACAAACCTCTAAGGGATATGCGTTTAAATCTACAGTGTTCTGAAAGTGCAAACATTAGGAAAAACATAGGATGTTTTTTGCGCTTCAAAAGAACCTTTTCCCAGAGCAAGCAGAGTTGCAACTCTAAAACGGTTAAAAAGGTTATTTTTGAAACGCTGCAGGAGCTCTTCCCACCGAAAGGATAAGCCGGATAAGCATTTGCTTAAACCACCCTTTTTTAGCGGCATAGGGTTTAGGATTTCAAGGGCATATTCACAACCCTTATAAAGCCACGATTACGTTACCAGCACAGGTTTTTGGGTTTCACCGGAAGCACCTGGCCCCATCTGCGCCCTGATGACCAAATAGCTCGCGCCAAAGCTTCGTAGGATTTTCAGGCCTAACCTCCAGGGGCCCTCATCCTACGAGCACGAAGGGAGGGGACATGCGACAAACTTGAAAGGCCCTCGAATAAAACCTTTTCGCAAAGCAAGCAGAGTTGCAACGCTAAAACGGTTTTTGAGGTTTTGGGAAACGCCGCAGGAGCTCTTCCCACAAGGGGGTACGCATTTGCTTAAACCACCCTCTGTAGTGGCATAGGGTTTAGGATTTCAGGGGCATATTCACAACCCTTATGGAGCCACGATTATGTTACCAGCAAAGGTTTTTGGGTTTCATCGTAAGCAACTAGCCCATCTGCGCCCTGATGACCAAATAGCTCAGACTCCCCCCTCTCCCCCGTACAATGGCCAGAAAATACCGGGGTCCGCGCAGGTCCGCACCCGGAGTTCTGACGCCCAAAAGCCTGTGTGCTGGTAACGTAATCGTGGCCCCGTATAATCAATCCCCTAAAAGCTCTGACCAAGTAGCTCGCGCCGAGTTATGGAGCCACGATTACGTTACCAGCACACGTCTTTGGGAGTTTTTGACACGGTCTTTTCGCACAAAAAAAGACCACCCTCTTTTTGTGGAAAAAGACCGTGTCAAAAACCGCACAAAAAGACCTGTGCTAACGCATTTTGTCAGAGCGTGTTGCCCTGAAAACGGGTTTCAGCGTGTTAAAACTCCATGGATGTTTCCCCTGCGACCAAATGGCTCGCGCCATGGCGCGAGCTATTTGGTCATCAGGGTGCAGTTGGGGTGCTAGTTGCTTACGATATCAGCGTGCAAGCACCAAGGGCAGGGACATGCGACAAACTTCAAGGCCCTCACCAAACCCTACGAGCACAAAGGGAGGGGACATACGACAAACCTCTAAGGGATATGGTTTTACTTCTACAGTGTTCTAGAAAGGGCAGTCCCTAAAACTTGGGTGCAATATTGGGTGCAATTTGAGTACGCTCGGTCCCAAAAAGCAGGATGCTAGTTGAACGCGCTCGGTCCAAAAACTTGGGTGCTATTTGAGTACGCTCGGTCCTGCAAAGCAGGATGCTAGTTGAACACGCCTCGGTCCCCAAAACTTGGGCACTATTTGAGTACGCTGGTCCCCAAAAAGCAGGACGCTAGTTGAACACGCTCAGTCTTTTCGCACACACAAGGACCAACCCCCAAGAGGCCTCTCTGAAACCTTCAAACCTCGCACGCTGGGCCCTTCAAGCACGTTATGATTCTAGGACTGTCAGGCCTAACCTCTAGGACCCTACCACGAAGGGATGGGACATGCGCCAAACTTCTAGGGCCCTCACCAAACGCTACGAGCACGAAGAGAGGGAACATACGACAGACCTTGCAGGGACATGCTCTTACTTCTGCAGTGTTCTGAAAGTGCAAACATTAGGAAAAACATCGGATGTGTTTTGCGCTTCTATAAAACCTTTTCGCAGAGCAAGCAGAGTTGCAACTCTAAAGCGGTCATAAAGGTTTTTGGAAACACAACAGGAGCTCTTTTAGGGGTATAGGATTTAGGACTTCTGGGGCATATTCACAACCCTTAATAGGGCCACGATTACGGTACCAGCACAGGTTTCTGGGTGGATCCGGACCGTGGGAGACCACGGACCCAAACCGCATGACACCCACCCGGCCCCAATTGCGCTCATGATCGGAGACCATGGGAGACCACGGGCCCAACCGCGTGACACCAATCTAACCAAGCGCGTGACACTTCTTTTTCTGAGGAGAGGACCCCAAACGCATCCTGTTTGGGAAACAGGTATGTTTGAAATCGGCCGTGGAAAGGGGGGAATTCGAAAGAGTTTTTTAGGGCCCTCAAATAGGGCTTAGGAGCCTCGGAAAGCTTGGAACTGAAATCGGGTTGGGAACCTTGAAAGCTTCAAAGCTTCAAAGCTTCAAGCCCGATTTGCTTGCGATATCTTGCGATTAAATTTCTCGGACAAATCCTTAGTCACGCAGAAGCTTTTGCAAAGTAGCGGGAGCTTCGACGAGTCCGCCCTGACACTGCAGCTACCCACTCACCCTTCACCAGATGTGCGCACCTCAAGCCCCAGGTGCTTCCACAGCGACTGGATCGCTTCGCAAAGCTCGAAAGTGTGGCTGCTCTTCAGAAGACCTGGAGTGGGGTCGTAGAGGTACAGAGAGGGCTGTGATAGCAGGCGGTCCTCTCGGCCAGGCCTTCCTCACCTTCTTCGGACTGGTTTCTGGGCACCCCGTGGCTCTCAGGCTTCCAGTGGCTTTTTTGCGTCGAGGCAACGGCCTGTCAGGCACTGATTTGACGAAAACATTGTGGTCAACTCGAAACTATGCGACACTAGCCTTCGACTGCTCCGTGGAAACACCTTGCCCAAGCCTGTCATGTGCTCTGAAACCCCTGCCACGCGGACAAAGGCTACCGTCAGCCTTGCGGAGTTCCTCATCAACATCATCACATCATCCTCGTATATCCTCGTCATGCATCACCAACAGCAGCCCCGTCGTCGCCATAACCGCCATCGCCATCATCTTCCCACATGGCACAAACTTGAGACTCGCCTGGGCCTCGGCCACGTGGCGTCAGAGCTTCTCTATGGACCCCTGATTCCGCTCCCTTGCCAAGCCCGCCGCCCCCTTTGCCAGATGTGGGTTCTTCGGCGGCCGAGGCGGTCGACGCGCAGCGTTTAAAATTATCTCGGTCGTGAGCAAAACGTTCTCTCTTGGGATGGTGGTCTCAGTGACCAGTTCCCAATTGAAGGGGCTGACTGAGCGAACACGTGACTCACAACGCACCCCCAGCCGAAACATGTACTCGCGTTGTGATGTCGTCAGGCTGCAGCCCAAGTACCTTCGTGTTGATATTGCGGTAGTGTGCCTCCTGCTTCACGCAAGTCTCCAGATCGAGCCACAAGGGTGTCTCAACACCACTTGGCTGGAAACAAAAAAATGTTGAACCAAAAGGGTGTTTCAAGACCAGTTTGACAGAAACCGAAAGACTTTGAACCAAAGGGTGTCTCAACACCGAAGAGTGTCTCAACACCACTTTGAGTCCAGATCGAGCCAAAAGGGTCTCATATCAAAGCGTAATTCACCAAACATCCTCTCGGAACAATTCAGGACACCAGAACGACATGGCAAGCTTGAAACGAACAGATCGAGAATCACTTGGGCCCCCCGCAATTTCAGCGTTGAGGGAATCTGGGTTTCTTGGAAACATGACAATCAACATGACACTAAGTCCGTGGTTCTCAACATTACCGTATGTTGTCAGTTTCTTGGTTTTCGGTGACGGCCTGTCCCATCCGCGTGGAGCAAATTGAAGGGCCCAAGAGTGTCCGCTCCCGCACCCCAGGGTTGCCCTAGACCCCTCAAGCAGACCCAGTTTGCGGTATTTGGCGCTAATGAATGCACTCTGTCGCGATGCCCCGTGATACATGCAGACACCCACCCTCCCCCGACCCACCCAAACCCACCGTACAATATCTAGCAGTTGCAAAACACATAAACACGCAGTGTCCCAGCCTCAAGCTCGTCCCTCTGCACCCAGGCTTCGAAACCATCAATGAATCCGACATAGACCTGCCCTTTGGGGCTGTCTACTTGCTTCACGCGGACCCTCACATTGCCGCTCTTGTAGCCCAGACCGCGTGCTTTGTCAGCTGCAAGCAAGGCTTCTTGTCCAGAGTGAAGTGCCTCGGTGCATCCAGTCATTGAAGGGCTGCAACAGGCATATGCAACCTCCGACCTGCACATGCGGTCGCCTGTGCACTCCGAGTGGAGCAGTTCTTCCCAGCAATGGCTCGTGGGTGCTGGCACACAACATTTGGGTTTCTGCAGAATCTACCACGATCAGCTCTAGAACCTCTGCCATGCAAGGTGCTCTGAACATGCAAAACCTGCAACATCCGCACCTCCATGGGTGGCGGGCGAGCAAGAAGCCACGGAGGTTCACCCCATGGAGTTGCAGATCTGAACTGATTGCTGTTGGAAAAAAAGCTTTGCTGACAACCTTAGTCAGGGCTTTAATCTACAACTGTGTAGAAAAAGGGCTTGCAGCTGCTCCTTGAGCCTTAGGACCAAAATGGTGCATTTTGTCAAGCTGCTTCCGGCACTCTGAATCCTGCAAAGGTATGCCCTGGTATGCCATTTCAGACTCTACTGCGACTGTATCCGAAGAGCATCCATTCCAAAAAGGCATCGAGCAAAGCAAAGAGAGATGCCTTTATGTCAAAGGATTCATCTAAAGGACGCTGTGGCTTGCATCGTACGGTCGCAAAAAATTCGCGAATGATGTTGTCATCGGCGGAGGGACAGTCGAGCGTGCGCGGGCAAACATATGCCGGGCTAGCACTGCCTTCTGTACGAGTACTACGGTACACCTTCAATGGAAAGAAGGGGACACACATAGAATTCAGGCAAAAACGGGCAACATTGGCAAGGCGAATTCACAGCAACCCTACAAACACAACATGTACTTTGGGATGGGCATCTAGGATTTTGCATCACTACACTAAGTATGCTTCGCATGTCTGAATCGTGGATGCAAAGGCGCCCGCAAAGGCACCGGAGCTGAGACGCAACTCTTCAAGATGAATGTCCCCTTTTGCTGTGCGCTGTTTTACGCTGATGAGCACAAACCTCATGAAAGCTACGAACATGCAGGCGCCTGCATTATGTTGTCGGAATTGTTTTCGAATGTTGAACTTCTGAGTGTGACTGGGCACAGCGCGAACACATAAAGCAGATCCTGATGTGGGGCCAAGGAAGCTCCGCAAGTCTTGACAAGTAAGGGGGCTGTGGACAAAGGGAGACGAACATATACTACGAACTCCTTGTGCGCGAGTTGTGCCACATGTTCGGTATACATGTTTGTAACACTATGTCACTTATGTAGCTGGTTGAACATCATGCCAGTAAAAGCTGCTGCCTTCGTTGTCCACCCAATGCAAAAACAATGACTGCCGCAAGCCCGACGTGGACGAAGGGGATGTTAAATCCATTTGGGGGTTCAGCGTTTTGGCAGCAGGGCGTTCGCAACCTGTGCTAAGCAGAGGTGCACCCTTCGACCAGATCACGAGCCATCGCCCTTCAGGGTCGGAGTATTCACGCAACAAGCCAACAATAAGGACAATGATCTGGCAGCTGTTTTTGTTTTGCTGCATCTGTCATCTAGCTCCAGCATGGTGAGAAGCATGGACGAGGTGTCACGCATCTCAGCGGTCAATTCAAGTTGGGCCCTCCATGACATCTGACAGATACGATCCTGCTGCACACGTAACCAATCCGGCATGATCCGACCCCACACCTTACTTGAAGGCATGTTACAGGTACTTGGAGGAAGCAAAAAAGGCATTCTGTGACAGCTCAATTATGCTGTCTACCATACTCCTGGGCAGCGTTGGCCAAACCTGTGAACCATGTAACAGCTCATGCAACCGTTTATGACAAAGAAGTTGCGCAAGAGCTATTCTTCAATCACTTTGTTCTCTATTAGAAGAAGGAAGGCCCATGCTAAAAATGATTGAGCACATTCCTGATCCTTCTTGCGTAAAACAATCAAGGCTTGAAAGGGAACCTGTGGTACCGGGACGCAGTCTGCAATCGCTGACGCAGGCTTGGTCTACATAGCAAAGGCGGGAACACAGGTTGCGCAAGCCGGTTGCAGCATGCGGGTCTGAGAGCTTCTTGGCTTCGCTCCATCCTTGACATTTTTCGCTTCTGCACTCAGATGCCTCAGCTAGGCCGAGGGCCTGTCATGCGCTGTCCTTGAGGGCCAAGCTAGCTGGATGCCTGCACACGTCCATACACCTGTACATGGAGCGGTTGCGGAGCCGACACAAAAACTATTGCCAGCCCTTGGCGGCAGTGCGCCCTCTTCAGCACCCTTCTTCGCCCAACAGAGATGGTAGTAGAACAATGACTTAGAGCAAGATCAGAAATCGAACGGTGCTACATGAGAAGAAGGACAACCGAGAGAGCTGCTGGCACAGAATCTAGGCAACGGCCAGAACGACGAACCCCGACCCTCTGACGGCAGAATACTATAATCAATACTACTATCGTAATATAATAATGTAGGTCCCCAATCTTAAATCTCAACCCTTAACGACCCGCAACATCCCCAACAAGGCCGTGGAAACCGAAAGAGCCCAAGGCCCAAGTAGCCCAACATGGCTGGAGATCCAGTTTCCTGAAATCCTTGTGGTTTACAAGCTACCCATGCTGCTTTAGGATGTCCCTGGCTACTTGGGGTCTTGCGCGGCCCTCGGAATCTACATGGGGGTCCCACAGTACGGGCGCCCCCGCGAGCGGTTGGCGCGCGCAGGCCACTGTACAAGCTGCATCACGCGGCCTCTGGAATGAAAACTGCCTTCCACACTAACAGTCAACAGCAAGCTGCAGGGGAAAGCACTACGACCATCCAAGGTCCGGTGTCGTTGTGGCCCTCACGAATCATCAGACCTTGGCTTGATTATTTGAGCAGACAAGTCTTCGAACCTCTCGCGAAGTGACATATAGGAAACACCTGAACCACTGAGCTCTGGACTCTGCCATCCGGACTGCAGGCTAGAGAAACGTTCCGGGGTCCGCTTACACACTCGAGACTTTGTCGCAAGCTCGGGTTGTAAACTGGACGCCTTTCAGACAGCAGTTGCTGTGCGTCTTCCTGCGAGTGAAACTGGATGTAGCCAGAGAAAGCGATGGGTGTCATTTCCTCCACAGCCATGTTCGTCTCTGATTGCCAGTATCTGTAGATCTTGACCCTGGTGAAGGCGCCAAACCGACCGGCCACATGTTGCAGTTCAGCCTCGCTGAAGGGTACCCTGAAGTGGTTCTTGAAATGAACGCGGGCGGAAGCGATCTGAAGAAGATCCAGGTGGAGAGGGCCCACCTCGGTCACACCCAGTCTCTGGAGCTCCCTGAGCAATCCATCATCCTGTGTCTTGGCACGCCTGGCCTGTTCAATGTCCTTCAGAGCCAGGGTTGCCAGGGAATGATCTTGCAGGTTGCGAACCATCACTTGTCGAACATCATAACCACGAGCCACGAAGGTAGCACTGAGGATGTTCTCGCGAAGATCCGAGCTCGAAACGAGGCGAACGCAATATCTAGAGAGTCGCTCTCGATCCCTCTGCTGCATGCCCGAAAGGAGCAAGTCCTCGATCTGGAGCTCCGGCCATTCACCATCTCCGTCGTTGTACGGCTGATGGAAGGCGTCGGTCCGTCGGTTCCGCATCTGCAGATACTCCGAAGCGCGAGGGTCGGCCCTGCTCTGAAGGTAACGCAGAGACTGGGCGGGCTGGGTGAAGCGGTCATCTGCTTCGCGAGCAAGCTTCATCCTCATCTTCGTCTCAAGGTAACCTGCCAGACCCGATTCACGTGCGCGCCCCTCTTCACTGCTTCTGGTGCTTCCAGTCCCCTCTGGCCAAGATTGTGCCTGGGAACGGGGATTTGGGGGAGCTGTTCGAGATGGCCCGGTCTGGGCTCCTTCTGCAGCTTCCTGCCAGAAGCGTCGTTGAGCATGTTCCTCCTCCAACTCCTGCATAACCTCTCTGTTCTGGTCAAGCAAGTACTGGATAGTCTCGTTCAGGTGCTGGATTTCACTTGTCTGGAACCGGATGAAGCTTTCATCCTTGCGCCTCTCGCGTTGCAAGTCGCACAACATGCTTGCCAATCTCAGCTCCTGCGAGCTGATAGGGGCAACCTCGGGAGCCTCGGGCGCTTGCACAGTGGAGGCATCAACCTCATGTGCTGCTGCTTCTTCCGCCTCTTCTGGGCTTGGAGCATCCTCAGACACTTCCTCCGACGCTTCACTCGCTTCCCGGGTCGTCTGCTCATCGTTCTGCACCTCCACATCCTCCAAGCCTGTTTCCTCCGGCCTCGCCTTGCACAGGATGCATCCATAGAAATCCGCCAAACCCCGGCAATCTGGGGCGCCAGTGAAAGGTCCCCCACGTTTTCCTCCAACCCCTTGCTGCCTTCTACAGCACCACGGGCGTCTGGGAGCAGGGTCCCACCTTTGTCTGTGCATTTCAAACTGCGAGCTCTGCTCAGCCCTCCACCCCTGGTCCCTGAAAGCAAAATTCGCAAGTTTTTTGTTTCCTCCCTTTGCCGGGGAAAGGTGAGTACAGAGAGCTGAAGCTTCCGAAAGCCCCTGTGCGTGGACTGGAACAGAAGTTTTCTTCCCAGTGGACAATGCACCCCTTCCCCACCACAGTTTCATGCCCCGCCGGCTGTCCAAGACTTGCCTGTTGGTATGCTTGTGTGAAGATGGACCTTCGATCACCTTCAAGTCAGACTAGACACGGCTTCAACTCGTATTTCAGACGCAAGATAAGCTTGTGACTCTTGTAAGAAGCTGGCCCGCAAGCCCTTTGATGCACTTCAACTGCCCTAGCTCACCAGCTCTTTGCGAGGGTTTGGCAACTGTGGGGCTGCTCCCTGCCCCTGCCCGCTCCGTTCCCAGTTCCTTCCACCCTCCCTCCCCCTCCCTCCCTCCCCACCTCCCTCATCCATCTATCCCCTTTTCCCTCCCCACCACCACCCCCCACCCAAGTTGCAAAACCCGTGATCATGGCTCCCCGTCCGGTTGTAGATGCTGACTATGGATTCTGCCAAATCGTATAGTAACATTACAATGATTACAACTACAATTTGGGCAGCAGTTGGTTTATTCTCCCTGCCATTCTCGAATCTGCAGACACACGGTGTGTTAGGGGTCGGGGGAAGCGGCTTCAGCCCTTAGCGATTCCCTCCAGGAAAACACGGAGCATCTTGGAGAAGGCCACCGCTCACGGGGTGCCTCTGCTACCACGGGCTGCCGGACCCTGACGTTCTTCAGCGCCTCAGGGATGGGACGCGAATGCTGCACAGGCTCACTTGCTAGCGCGGTCTAGTGCTCAGCACCCCACTGCCTGGCTTGGCGCCACGACGAACGTCAAGCTCGGCAAAGCCTGAATTGCAGGGTCCCTTACTGGTGGTAAGATGGGCCAAACCTGCGGGCGAGCGAACTCTAACAAAGCAAGGCCTTCAAGTTCACAGCAGAGGATTCGGCTAGCTTCTTCGCGGTGTTCTCTAGCTGCGGAAGCAGCTGCTTGGCATTGGTCCAGGCAAGATCTTCTCGGTTGATAGACGAGCTGGACAATGTCCTGTAAGGCTTCATGACATACTTGAAGAAGAGTGTCAAACACTCCCGCTCGTGACGGAGGTACTTGTACTGGCTTGTCCCCTGTCCGAAGGAACTGCAAAGAAGTGCCTTTGCAATTGCGAGGCATTGATGCGCTTCAAATACCATCTCGCTCTCAGCGCGGGCGTCGGGATCAGCTGCTGCAACAGCCACCAGAGCACAAACCAGAAGGAACCTTGCCTGCTGAGCCTTGTTCAAGATCGTGTGCGAACCGAAAAGCTCCAGGAAGGCACCCAAGGTGGACCTCTCCGCTAGCTTCAGCGACGCCAGCAACTCCAGCGGCTGGCGATTCCGAGGCTCCAAAGCACCAAGCATTCTCTGAAAAGCTTCAGGCGAGGCTTGTAAGGTTGCCTCCCAAACTTCCAGATCATCTGCGATGTCCTTCTGTTCACAGCCCTCGAGCTTGACGAGCTTCTTCATGCAGTTGCCCAATCCGCTGCAGCTGGGGAGCTGCTTCTGCTTCTTCAGGGCGCTGACGACCTGTGGATGGAAGAGTAGCATCGCCTCCAGGTAGAGGCAACTCTGCAGCACGTCTCCGAAGTCAATGCTGGCAGCGGCGTCGCTTCCCGAGCCCTGGGAGCCCTGACCTGTGGCCACAGGTCTCAGAACCCGCGCCAGTTGCTTCAACTGGAGCCCGTGCTTGACATGAGTGATGAGACAACAAGGCTGTCCCGGATAAAGCTTGATCAACTCTTCCCCGTCATGGAAGTTGTAAGTGGCCAGCTCCTTGTCAAACAGCGTTTCGCACTTCTTCATGAAGCGACGTTCACAGGCTGCGTGCACGTTGTAAGTCGATGGCTTATCACACTTGGGTGCTGCACATCGCAACTCCATCAGGTCATGCGGATCAATCGGGTCCCAGCAGCACACACACCGCGTCCCCTCCATGGCTGGAATTTGTTTCCAAATTCACTTGTCCGGGCCAGAAAGCTCGCAGTACAAACCAGGCTTCAAGGATTCGTCGCATGTACATGCCCTGTGTGTGACCAAGAGCAATGAACGAACATGAAGCGAATTCATCCGTCCTTTGCTCGGCTGGATTCGTGCTCCTTTCAGAGGCATGCCGGGACGATTTCGCTGAGCTATTCCAGGAGGTCCATTCATATCAAATTCGTTCGTACAACACACCACGATGACCCCACCTAGACCTATTCTTGCCTGTATCCCTGACTCGCATCTCCTGCAGCTCTCCACGCAGCTCACAAGAAGCTTGGCCTCCCGGCAACGCTTGCTTCTACACTTCAGGGCATCGGAGCTACCGGTATAGGAGCTACCGGGCGACCCAAAGCTACCGACTTCGTCGGAAATTGCGCTGGGCATCAAACGTTGGCCTCGGGGTCCAGGACAGATACGGAGCGTTTGAAAGATGCACATCTCATATAAAGGCTTGCAGATGCGTCATATCCTGTACCTTAGGGGGGGCTGCTTCTGAATTTGAATAAGCGCCCCAGTGTAGCACCTAGCCACGGCTCCTGCGGAGTCTGACAAACGTGCATGTCCGTTGGAGAAAATTGGTCTGGCTGCGACCATCTTCCAGTCTCTGAAAAGGTCAGCCAGGAAATTCGTCATGCAGGAAGTGGCATCTATGCCCGTACGGGCACCGCGGCCAGTTTTTGCAACGTATCCTCTTGAAAGTTGCGGGATCTTTGCCCCGTGATTGAAATGATGTCAAGGCCAATGCGCCGGCTGGGGAGTTCAGGTAGGCCTGTCGGGTTGGGTATTGGAATGCTGCTGCAGGTGCTTCTACGAAGGCTTTTGCAGGTGCAACTGCGTGCGCGGCTGCATGTGCAACTGTAGCTGCTGTTGCAGAGACATATCCTTAGATGCAATGCTTCTTGAATTCGCAAAACCTTTGTCGCACAAATGTCTACCTGAAGAACCAGGCCCAACCTTGCTTTTACACAGCCCTTGTCAATGTCTTGCGTAAGCCAGGCTGCCTTGCCCTTTGGCCTTGGCCTTGCCCTTACCTTTGCCTGGCACCACAGCGCATGAAACCCCATGACATGCCAGGTCAAGCTTGTGTGGTAGGTACTTCAAGTCAGTAAAGTCGATGATTTCTTAAAGCTCCATGCTTGGGTTAACGGGAAGCAGGAGCCCTTCCAACGTCCGTGCTCACAAAGACCCATTGCCTTGAGCTGTCGTAGCCTCTCTCAAGTAGCGTTCAATGTCCTCACAGGAGCGAATTTCGTTGCAATCTACTAGCAAGAGGATGCCCATAGCCCGACGCATGACAGGGGGACTTGATCGGGATTGGGTCAGCGTCCAAGATTTTCTGGCGAGGCTACTTGCAGACTTAGGTAAGGGGATTCCGATGTACAGGTCCATGCGAGGGTGTCAGGCAAAGGCGCTGCCAACTTCGGCATTCAACATCATGGGCTTGGCATCCGAAGGCTTAGATCTAACCCTAGATGAAGGCACATGCTCGACGGTAGTTCGCTGCCCAATACTTGTGTGCGTCCAAAGAAGCAATTCAGGACTGCTGGACAGCTATGACAGAAGTGCAATCGTGTGTAGTCCATGTTCAGGTCAAAGAAAACTACGTGCGACTACCAGAACCGAGTCTTCAACTCGGCACGTCCTGAGCCCCAACGCGTCCGGCTTCGCGAGGAGCATTCTGGCCATACCTATTGGAAGCACCGATCTCAACATGGGCCTCCTCGACAAAGAATTGAACAAGTTCAAGATTTCCTCCGCGAACAGCCTGAATCAAAGGTGTCAAGCCCTCCCTGCTTTCGTGGTTTGGATCCAGCCCAACTCGCACCAACTCATGCGCGATGTCGGCGTTTGAGAAACCATCTCGATGGGCGCCGAAAGCTGCCTCATGTAGCAAACTCCAGCCTTCGTCGTTGAATTCGACGGGCCCCCACCAGTTGGCCAAGTCCACACCGTAAGCTTCAGCACCTTCCAAAAGACTCTGCCACATCTCCATGCGCCTTGGTCGATCGATTCTGACGATGTGCCGCAAAGGAACCTCTCCGTCATGGTCCACCAGATCCGCGCGGGCACGAGCTCTTACCAATGCCCTGACCACGTCAACATGGCCTCCTTTGATAGCTTCCATGAGGGGGCGCGGACAGCGGCCATCCCGGCCGTTCACGTCCTCGCCGTTGCGCAAGGACTCCTGCCCAGATCAGAAGCTATCTGAAATAGTCCGGGAGCCATGTACTCGAAATCGATCCACCGCATACACAAGATACTCAAGCGATTCTTCTGCGAATCTACCTATTTTGTACATCTCTACTGCCAAGCATCACTTGTTCAAGACAAACCCTCTTGGTCGACCAAGGATTCCTCGCTCCTCAACTCGCTGTAGCTCCCCTAGCGCGCAGAGGTCAAGGAACGATAGCTCCCTGACTACAATTGCTTGCAAGTCTCCGGAGCCCCATAAAAATCCAGGTCGGACTTGTTCACCTTGAGCATCGACCAGCTGGATCTCGCGGGCACTGCGTCCCAACCTACCACTTGCGAGATCAATCGCTGGTGCTTACGAAACAAAGATGACACATCGGAATAATCGAATGCCGTCATGGAAAGAATCCTAGCAAGAACTGCAAGCACAATTAAGGTGGCCAAGCTCTTCTCCTTCATAAACTGGAATTCGAGGAATGAAGAGTATGAAGCAACAAAGGCAGCACAGCAGAGGCAAACCGCCATGTCATGTGAGGTGACGTAATGCGCAGAGAACAGAGACAGAGACAGAAACAGACACAGAGACAGAGAAACAGGCAGAGAAACAGACAGAGAGACAGACAGAGAGACAGACAGAGAAACAGACAGAGTGACAGACAGGGAGAGACACGCAGAGAGACAGACACAGATACAGAGACAAAGAGACCAGAGAGGCAGAGAGAGCAGAGAGACAGAGAGACAGACGGAGAGACGGACGCAGGACACGGAGAGACCGAGAGACGGAGTGACCGAGGGAGAGGTAGAAAGGGCGAGAGGGCGAGAGGGCGAGAGGGCGAGAGGGCGAGAGGGCGAGAGGGCGAGAGGGCGAGAGGGCGAGAGGGCGAGAGGGCGAGAGGGCGAGAGGGCGAGAGGGAGAGAGGGAGAGAGGGCAGGAGGGAGAGGGAGAGCGGGAGGGAGGGATGGAGGGGCGGGAGCGAGAGCGTGAGAGGGAGCGACGCGAGAGCAGGAGGGAGAGAGGGAGAGGGAGAGGGCGAGAGAGAGGGAGAGAGAAGAAAGAGAGAGAGAGAGAGGAGAGAGAGAGAGGAGAGCGAGAGAGTGAGGGAGGGAGGGAAGGGGAGGGGAGGGAGGGCAGGGGACGGGAGGGAGGGAGGGAGAGGGAGGGGGGGAAGAAAACACAGGAAAATCAATTATTGGATTGATGGGTGGGTGGACGCGAACGATGGTGATCGATGGTGATGGTGAGGATGACGGTGACCGCGGTGGTGATGATGATGATGATGGTGATGCTGATGATGATGATGATGATGATGATGATGATGATGAATATGATGATTCTGATGACGATGACGATGACGATGATGATGATACTGATGCTGATGATGATGATGATGATGATGATGATGATGATGACGATCATGATCGATGATGTCAAACGTTGCTACTGTAGCAGGTCTTCAGCAGTCATAGGCATCCACGAGACAACAAAGATGCAGTCTCCCAAGAAGATCCGAGAAACGACTTTGCCACTCTCGACATAACAGAATCAACAACAGTAGTCGTGGCCCCAGCCATTGCATCCAACTCTTGAAGGGTGAACTCTTGCACCTGAGTCCAAGATCATGTTGTAGTTGCAACTCTGAAAGGCTCTTCAGTATAGCAGTACAAAATCTTTGCGGCTTATGGGTACAGGACTGCTATCAGAACAACTAGCATGAACTTTGCCCCAAAGGCGCAACTGCACCACTCAAGGCCCTTATCCGCAGCATGGCCTGTGGCGAGGAAGTGTTTCAGTGCGGGGCCTTTCATTCTTTAAGGCCAACATTTTACAAGCCTCCACAAGTCTGAAGTACATCGGCTTTTTCAGCCCTACAGGACCAGCAAGGTTTACCGAGCAAGCCTAGTTTCTGCCAGGGCTCAGGAGTCCCCAAGACGCTTATGTGAAAGGGCAGTTAAGCAGTCTAGGGCTTTCCGCCAAGCTGTCAAGCCTCTTGCTCTTTTTGCCGGCCTCCGTTTCGCTGCCAACTGCAGCCGGGCCAGTCTGTGGAAGGTTTGGAACAGCAGCATCGTAGTGGACCTCTGCAAAGAAGACGACGTAGATTGGGGAGCCCAAGCGGTCAGCAAACTCTTCAATTGGAGAGATTATGATGGTGCGATCTTGGTGTAGGACTCGGATTTGCCGCTGATAGTGGGTAGCAAGCGCCCTCAACGTCAGTTCGTCACCCCATGCGTTGAGGCTCATCCGCTCCAGATACGTATCAAAATCGCCATCAACAAAGCCCTCAAACAGAAATCGATTGCGACGTATATATGCAACTGCATGTTGGCGAATTCGGTTGGGCTCGTCAGAAACGTATCGGGAGATAGAGTTGAACTGGCAGTTGCCTTTGCCTGCAGCTGCAGCACCCATGCAAACTGATCTATGTTGCGGGTCAACATGGGTAGATCATTACCTTGCTGTGACACACACCAAGTTCACCGTTCACCATACTTGACAATAATCTCGACTGCCCCGACGGGATCTGTTTGCGTATATATATATATATGTATATATCTGCTGTGTAGTATATATTTTATGTACTGCAGGGTATACTATCGCATACTGTATAAACCCAGACCATAGAAAACTTTCGTATTGGTGGAAGAAATTTCTACGACAGATGGCCCTCTGACTCCTCCCAGTGCAAGCCATGCAGATCCAACTCGTTCCTCTGGTGGCTTGACAGCAATACATGTTCAGGGCCCCGCCGCGTGCCACCAAGTACGATGCTGCCCTGGCTCCGCACCAAATGGCAGAATCCATGAAATTCGCGTGCAAGCTTGCACCTGCCCTTTGCCCCGAGCTCAGGAATCATAAAGTTCCATACTCTGAGTAGTTGCAGCAGTCTTTGTCCTAGCACAGTGGGATCACTTGTTAGTGCATCTGTGATCATCTGGACATCTGGATCCCGAATCTGCTGACCATCCACCTGTTGCTCTCTGGCGTGTTTGCAATAGAACAAGCACAATGCTTGTTGGACAACTCCACTCTGCGAGGTTGGCCTGTCCTGTAATTAGGGCTCAAATACCCAAACTCACAAGTAGAAAGAACTTTCACAATACCTAGCTTACCCAAACTGTCGCTTGAATCCCATCCTGAAAGCGCCGCGATGACGCCTGATTCGGTTCTTCTATGCTCGCTTCGCCGCGGACTTGTGCGTCAGATCCTGCGACCTCAACACCCAAGCTGATGCAGTCCCCCCCCCCCCCCGCCCCAATAAAAGCGCGTCCTGACAAACAGCAAGTTGGTGATTCTGTGTTAGCGGTGTCAAGCATCCCTTGACGGCTTGCTTGAGAAGGCCGTCTGACTTTCCTCGCCTGCAACCTGCAAATCAAAACTGTGAAAATGCCTGATCTGCCTATTGCCAGGTCCAAGATTCTTTCTCTCGCCTCTTCTTGAAATATGAAACACTGTGTGCCAGCATACCGTATTCAGACAGACTGATGCGACCAGTTCTCACTTCTACCCACGACAGCTAGAGCACATAAGAAATGCACCTCGGCAACGACGCCGAGCAAGTCTTCAAAGAGCTTCTGTCGGTCAGGCGGTAGCAAGAAAGCATTGCGCTGGAAGTGCCAGCCGTGGCCACGAAGCACTCTGCGCAAGCAGCTCGGAAAGGGAGCAAGAGCACGCAGAACCTTGACTCAATTCAAGGCCGAATTAGATGGTTCTACATCTATGGGTTCGATGGGTCCTGAAACGGAAATTTGCAGAAACTTAAAGCTGATAACCACAACACCAGGCCTCTGAGAGAGTACTGGCCCAGCCCACATCCAGGCCGCTGTGGGCCATTGATTCTTCCACGGCAGAAACCACATCTGCAACTTGACGGTCCATCACCTGCTCAAGCAAATGTCCGAGGCACATTGCACGCCTGCTGACATTTAGCAGGGCACGTTGCTGTCGGAAACACCCGCCTGCTCACTGATATTCCCAGGTTGCTCATCAGCGTCCTGCAGGATGCTTGAAGGCCACGCGGCATGTTGGTCAGGTGCTTATGCAACGATCTTGCACACAATTGTTGCACGCAGGCTCCATCGCCATGAACGAAGGCACACATGCCGCAAGTGCTCACGCGGTCCTTATTCGCAGACAAGCCTACTGTACTGCTGCTGGTCCATGCTTTGTCAGCTTGCTGGCAGGTCTTCCACAATTTGAAAGTTTCTGTTGCGACATTCCTCCTTAAGTTTTCCATCATGCGGGCTGTCTTCAACATCAACAATGGCAGTCGATGGCAGTCGATTAAACAGCATAGCAACGCCGCCAGCATGTGGTCAAGCAAGGAGATTGCTGCCAACGCAGACACCGATGGAGAACTCCCAAAGCCCACACTTGCATGCAACGACATCAGTTTGCAAATGAATGGCTTCTCCCGGCAGTCCGAGTGTAGCTAGTGTCATCTAAACACCCTCCTACACTGTCCTGATTCCCATCCAGCCACACACATGCCGTGTCGATGCTGGGCGCCATGCTAAACCAGCAGTCACTACCTCAACCTCTGAAAAACGTGGCTGACTGCCAGCAAGGCTGCTGCTTGCTTTGCTGCCCACAAGAATATTTTAGGCAATGCGCCTACAGCGAATGCATGTGCCAACAACGCTTACATGTTGGACCTGCACAGTAAAGCTGGGTCTCAGCTGATGCATGACGCAGGCGGGTCCTCGTCTCCTTCCGATTGTATCTTCTGCGGCCGTGGATATGCCACTCGTGGACAGATGTAGACCCCAAATCGAGTATGAATGAACTGGCGGAGAGCATTGATCATCGTCGACGCAGCAACGCGCGAGAGGTCAATGTCAGCAAATACGATACTGCCCGGGATGATTGCATTGCGCTCTCTGTCCACCACTCTCTCATACATCTTGCGCCAAGCTGCTGCAAGCTTCTGAGCACTATCGTAACGTACGCGCCCCTGAATATCACGCGGCCTTTCGGGTGCCAACCTTCAGGGCTCAGCCCGGGCCAGCAGTCCGACAATCTCCTTTGGTATACTACGGTATAGAATAGAATCAGCAACTAGGCTGCTGCCTGGACACTATGCTGTTAATCTCACATCAATAGACCCCTCTGTACTTTCAAAATCCAAACCCCCCCTCCACTTCCAAAATTCAATCGGGCGAAGCCTAAAAACAACTGACGTCGCATCTTGCCTAGAGGCTACTAAGAGTCTACAGTATCCTACTCTCCGGACTCGCGGCAGTGGTCTACCTAGTGCTAGAGCTGCTAGGCGTCTCGAATTACGGGCGTTAGGGTCCCTTTCCTTGGGGGGGGAGGGGGCCCCTTTTTATGCAAGGTGAACACTTAGTGGCCTGGACGGAATCATCTGCACCCATCGACACTTCCCTGCATCCCCCTGATCGTAATGTTGCTCCCGTCGGCTGTGAAGAAGATCATGGTCCCAGTGTTGGATGGAGGTGCCAGACAAGTACTTGTATTCCGCGCCCTGATAGATGGTTAGCTTCACGTCAAACCAACGATGTGGGAGGCCTTTGTCTTCCTTGAGGCAGCCCGGCCCGCAGAAATGCACACGAAATGAAAGCTGATTGTCCCTGAGATCTGCTGGGGTTGAAGACACTGGCCAATGATTCTTGACTTTGGGCTTGACCGCAAGAGACCCAGCTGGCTGATCCGGCTCAATCGTCAGCTGGTAATGCTGCGACATGACATAGGCCTCGACCTTTTGCTGGTTTTCTAACTTGCTCCAATCCCTTCGAAGAAGATCGTCACGCTCCGCAGCTGGCACCTTGGGCATCTTCTCCAAGACATACAAGTCGTAGAGTCCCTGAAGGTCCGGCCTATTGCTTGCTCTCAGATCAGACCGCGGTAGACCCAACAGGTCAGCATGCAACTCGGGCGCAGTTGGGAAGTCCTTCAAAACTCCCTTCTCGAGAGTCTTCTTCGCAGAGCCATGCACAGCACTGCACCTCCAGGGATCTATGCTGACATGATCTGGCAGTCACTGACATGCTCAGTCTGCAGCATTAGTCGACCCAGCCTCAAACCGTATTTCATGTTCAGAAGATGCTCCAGGCCACGGAGATCTGGGCACAGCACATACTCTGGCTCGTCTTCTGCAGTGCTCCACACAAGAAGATACTCGTTCTTGAGAGCTTCAGCCAGGCACTCCCACAGCTCCGCTTTCAGGTCTTCTTCTTGCACTGTCTCTGGCTGTGCCGCGGCCTCGTCCTCTGCACCTGGATGCTCCACACCTGGCTGCCCTTCATCTTGATTCGGCTCAGGAAGCGGTTGGGGATCAAGGCTTGCTTCATCGCACTTCAGAAATAAGTGTACACCATGCATCCAGTTTGGAAGTCGCGGATGCATCTCGTTGAGATCCTTTGTGGAGCTGAAGATCTGACCTCAGAGCGGTATGAACATTCAAGGCATCAGCTCTTCCAAACATTTCCGAACTTCCTCACTCGAGAGACGCCTAACATCGCACCGCCAGAAAAGGACCTATTTATTGTCTTATCCCAATTACTCAACCTGGCGGGTGTACGCAGGCGGCCAATGACCCCACCTTCTGCCTTGTGACATCTTCGAGTGATGCGGCGCCACACAGAGCAATCAGAAAGGTGTGGACCATTCGGCTCTGTGGGTAAACTTGAGAGCCAGCGGCAGAAATCAAAGCAAGGATTCACATGAGCAGCATCACTGGCATCCCGCCCCAGCCCCCCCACCAGCCTCCCAACATAGCCAATCTGGAGGCTCCCAGAATCCGAAAGACGAGCCGCACGGCCACTTGCCCAACACCGGGCCCCCACCCTCCAAGAGCTCTACGCAATATCTGAGTAACCGACGAACACCATGTGCAAGCGTCCACTTCAGCATGGCATCTGATGTCCGAGGGTGCACATCCTCGGTCTCCTTGCAAGGACCCCGGCATCGGTCGCAAAAGACCTGACGGCAAAAGGGGCACCTCAGCCTCGATGTGGAGGCTTGCCCTGTGCAGCATTTAGATTTGGCTGTGCTGGTGATGTCATCCCATACACATTTGCCAAAGTTGTCCGCCATGTCACGCTTCTCTTTAAGAGATCTCTGTGCCGCCTCCGAAGCTCTAGCACGTGCATCTTCCTGCTGCTTTCTGACGAGATCCTTGACGGCATTCTGTTTGTTGTCCTGCTCTTTCTTGAAGTTGCGCGTGGCTGCATGCAGCACCTGCCATATCCACCGCCTTCTTCCCTGAACATGAGTTGTGTCTAGATCAATGAGAACTTCGTGTGTCGCAGTGTTTGCCAGGCGGGTGAAGCAGTCTAACAACATGGTGCGGCAAAAGTCTTCGAAAGCTCCAGTGCTGCGTGGCTGAAGGCCAGCAATTGCCAGCCGTTTTGCCTCGCCACGTACATCTCTCAAAGCTTCAAGATTCCTCTCCTGTGGAAAGGTGATATGCTCAAACTCACACACTCACAGAATTCAGAATGTAACCAAGAAACAAAACCACCAGACACAGCCAAGAGTCGACTTCTTCCAATTCCTTTTGCAAGTTCTCCCATGCTTTGAGAGGTCTTGCCGTGGCTTCCTGGTAGTCCGGACGCACAGCATATTCATTGTCTGCTTGATTGACGAACAGCAAGTTGTCCTGGCTTGGCGGAAACACAACTGCAAAGAGACCCATTTCAAGGGGCCGCTTCTTGTTCGGAATTCGAAACTCCAAAATGACAGGCATTGGGATCTCATCACGGATGTACATGTCTTCCGACGGGATGTAGAACTCATGCGGCTCGTACTGTCCTCTCGCAAGTGTGATTGACGGCGGCTGGTCAGCTTCGCCATCCTCAACGGCTGACAAGATCCGAATCCCATCCAAACACAGAGATCCACTGCGCCGTGTGGTGACGTCTGTTGGCAAGTTGGCTTCAACGGCCTTCGCCTCCCAGCGCCTTCTCCGAATGTTTCGGCGGCAAAGTGCCCGCTGTCCGGAATTCGGTATGGGGTAGTGAGCAGGCCAATGCACATCTATCACCTCATCGGTTCCATCGAGGAGTCGAACATCATAACACGAGAGGACGATGCAGTCAACAAATTCATCTTCGCAAACACAGACATGCCGCATCCAGCATGACCGACCAAAAGCACACCAACCGGTTTCAGGATAGTCTCTGCAATCCCTCTCAGAAATCAAATTGAAGCCCCAAGGATTGCGCAACGTGTCGGTGGACGCCATGCGGAAGAAACTCTGGAAAAGGGAACGAATCTAACCGGGAAGCTGATCGGGATTTCTCTACCATCAGGCTAGATACAGCTTGGGTCTAGCTGTAACTCTCGCATGAAACCGGATGCTTGGCCGTGCCATCCATGCAACAACATCCTTGCTGGCGCTCTACCCTTTAAGAACTCAAGGCAAGTCATTGCACTGAATACAAACAAGGGAGACACGAGGATTGACAAAAGGTAGATGGTTCTGGAACATCTCTCAGCTCCCACTATCTTATGAAGCGTTAGCATGTCCATAGCATACTCAAGCTCGTACATAATACGCTCACTCGTTTTCGGCTGTCGTGGCGGGGCTGGGGCTCACTCACTCACTGGCTTGCCGGGTGAGCACCACTACATCACAAAAGCCACAACAGCAAAAGAAAAAAATGGGTTCCGGTTCAGAATCCAACAACATCAAGCAAAGGACCTCACACAGTTCTTCGCTCAAGCAACATGCCAGGGGCAGTTATTAGATATTCTTGCATGTCGCTGGGGGAAGTGCGCTTTAGTCAAGGCTCGAAGGTAGGCCCCATTTTGATCAGCTGCCGCTGTGAAAGCATTTTGCTTCACGGAGTGTCGAAGTGTCGGGCTTTCTCGGCTTTGCCGTACCCACAGGATGAATGGAAACTCCATATGCGCCACATATCACCACATGATAAGGACCCCCACTGTGTTGCACTGAAAAAAACCTACTAGTACATTACAGAGACTCCCAAGAGATCAATACAACGACGAAGACTACCATCCCCCTTGCCCGCTCTAGCTTATAGTTTTTACTCTCATGTAGTTGGTGGGCCTGGAAGTTCTGAAAGGTACGCATCTTTGCAGGACTGATCACACTCAGTGGTCAGTACTGGCGGTCGCTGAGGTCCTGAAATTAAGCAGGCACAATAGCTGGCTGCAGCGGGTTGCCACAACTTATACTCACGTGCTAACAACGACTTTGTAATGATAACTTAATCGACTGGTAGGTGAAGATATCACACAGTGCGGGCAGAGGTTGGCATGGTTGGCATCCGTTCTCTCGTCCTTACGTGGTGGCGGCGCACGTTGTGGCCTACATCTTTCTGGGCCTCCCATGCTTTGTCGGGTTCCGGGGCTATGAGCAACGCACTGTACTTGATTCTAATTCGCCTCGGTGTTCCAGCCGACCAGGATCCGGTCTCCTTCCCCTGCGGGACCCCTCCGGATCGCTTGGAGGAGCCACAGACCGATAAGAGGCGCCTACTTTGGGGTGCTCGCTGGGACCTTTCTCGAACCTCCCGTGGGACCCCCGAACTCAGCTATTCTCTGGTCCACTCCTCGCCTGGTCTTTCGAATGCTTGGAGTGCCCAATTTGGAGCATCTTCACAGAATCTCCTGAGAGCCCCCGGACCGCCGCCACCCCAAAGAATTGTAGCGAGGCTTCTGACACTCCCTGCAGTGTCTAATGCAGAGAATGTTGAGAGAGAATTTGAGAAGTGCGCAGCCTTGCACGAGAATCCTTCGTGCCCAACCCCAGAAACTCCCCCGAGTCCAACCCCCGAGAAATCTTTGACAATCACCCCAACCCCAAGAATATTCTGAGAATCCCCAACCCGGAGAGTCTCCACATAATGCCCTGGAGAAGTAGTTGTAGTTGTGGCAGTAGTGGTAGTAGTGGTCGTAGTGGTCGTAGTGGTCGTAGTGGTCGTAGTGGTCGTAGTGGTAGTAGTGGTAGTAGTGGTAGTCGTGGTAGTAGTGGTAGTAGTGGTAGTAGTGGTAGTCGTGGTAGTAGTGGTAGTAGTGGTAGTAGTGGTAGTGTGGTAGTAGTGGTAATAGTGGTAGTAGTGGTAGTAGTGGTAGAAAGGTAGTCGTGGTAGTCGTGGTAGTCGTGGTAGTCGTGGTAGTAGTGGTAGTAGTGGTAGTAGTGGTAGTAGTGGTAGTAGTGGTAGTAGTGGTAGTAGTGGTAGTAGTAGTGGTAGTAGTGGTAGTAGTGGTAGTAGTGGTAGTAGTGGTAGTAGTGGTAGTAGTGGTAGTAGTGGTAGTAGTCATAAATACTATTCCAGCACAGCAGAGACCCCAAGCAATGAGCGACCACACACAAAGCATGCCAAGCGCTTCAGACACGAGGCACGACGACGACCATACCAACAAAACTTAGGAGATCGCCGGAAGACCACGAGAGGCCACCAGGAGTTCGTTGTCTCGGAGCGCGAAACCTCGAGAATTGCTCGCATTCTTCACGAACGACGACGACGCTTGTGTGGATGTGGCCTCTTGAAACACTTTCTGAATCACGAACAACGACCCTCGGCGCAGATTCGGCCTCTTGGAGCGCCAAACATTTTCAGTTTGAACCACAAGCGGCGACCTTCTGAGGGGATTCAGCCTCTCGGAGCGCTAAGCCTCGAGAGCTGGCCGCATTCTGGATCACGAACGATTCGACAACCCATCCTGGCGGTCTCCTGAGGTCTGCTCATGGTCTTCTGGTGGTCTCTTCTTGGTGTGCTAATGGCCTCCTAGGCTCTCCTCGTGATCTCCTGGGGTCTGCTGGGTTGGTCCATGCAGAGGGTCGACAAATCGATGCAAGAATGCTCATCAAAATTTTGCGGTTCCCCCATAGCTGTGGCATACCTGCGCAACCCTCCGAATTCGGGTTCCCCCTTCGTCGAGAAAATGCGACCGCTCCTCGAGGAATAATAGCGTCCGTAGCCATCTAGTCTCCTGTACTCTTAACGCAAGAACCCCTAGAGTTGACACACTGTCAGGGCATATTGCAACTGCCTCTTGTTAATGGCTGAACCCATCTTTGCGAGCAAGTCAGAAGCAAATCAGTGAATCGGCGGGCACCTGCAAAGTCACAAAGCTGCCGAGGCAAGCACCTTGCACGCTGGTATACTAGCGGATACCATCGTGTCTGACTGACTCATAGCATCTCCTGCCTGCGGGAGGTAACCTGTGCTGCCGATGTCTTACTCACGCCCTGAAGCTCTGTCTTTTTCTGCAACCAGGGAAACAGGACATGAGACTGCTGGCAATGGCTGCCAACAAGCCGTAGATAAACGATAACCATCCACGGCGCAGCTCGACAATTCAACGAAGCAGAACAGGAACAGCAAGTTGGGCAGTCAGACCCGCCCAGCCTCTTTTCTTTTCCTTTTTGTCCTTCTTGTCCTTTTTGTCTTTCTTGTCTTTTTTGCTTGTCTGCGAACGAACCGAGAAACGTACCAAGTCAAGCAGAGAGTGCAAACATCACACGCCTTCGAGGTTGCAATTGAGCTCCCAAGATCGGACGCATCGTCCTTGTCCTGGATTGGAAAACTGTGCCGACAATGTTGCTGCACCAGCCAGAAATCTTTGCAGCTGCTAGGCAGTCACTCTTGGCTGTCAATATGGAAGGTATACAATTAGACAGAAGATGCGGTTAGCGGTGCCATACACGAAAATGCGCTGCATGATATGGTATACGACATATTCGCCTCGGCTTCCTGCCGAGAAGCGTCAGACCCGGATCGGGCCTCCTTCCCATGCAAAATGTTGTGACGGACCCCCCGCCCCCCCCCCCCCCGCTCTGTGGGCTCGCTTGGAGGAGCTGCAAACCGATGCCGCGGAGTGTCCCGCCTGTCGACACACAGAGGAAGCGCCTCAAAACGAAAAAACCCCCACCCCCCACCCACCCTCACCCCCCCCCCCCCCCCCCACCCCCCCCCCAACCCCCCCCCCACCCCCCGCCCCCCAAACCCCCCCCCCCAACCCCCCCCCCCACCCCCCCCCCCCCCCCCCCACCCGCTCCCCTTTCCTCCTTTCCTGTCCTGGGGCCCGGCTGCCGAAGCGTCGCGCGCAAGCGTTTACAACATGAGAAACTATGTCATGGAATATGTATGCTGTACTTTATACTAGTTACACAGTCCGCTGTGCCATACAGCATGCACGAAACGACACGAACATGCGAGAGTATGAAGCAGGCTGCTCCTCGCCACATGGCGAGAGAAGGTGCTTTCGGCTGCTTGCCTGTGCACCAAGCTGTTGTACCCTAGCTGCTCGAAATTCCAACGTTTGAAAACCCGAAGGGTTTACAACTATACAAGGGAAGAGGAGGGGAGCCCCAATCAATGGAAACTGAACGCCACAAGACTGTCAAGCAAAAGCACACGCGAAGCTTGTTGGTTTTGGACGCATCGGCCCGGGAGCTCAGAACTCGGCGTCATTCTTGAAGAATGCACCGAACGTGATACGACTCGTGTGACTGGCCGAAGAGATCCTCTAGATCAGCCCCCAGCCGTGAGACGATATACATTGATCAAGGGCGGGATGGGTGGGACTTCAACAAATTCTACCCCTCAGAAGTGCCCCACTTCCCCGTCGATCAGGAAATATTGCCATACAGAAGACCTTCAAAAATCAAGCACTTTTCAAACTTAGAAGGAAACCTCAAAAACCCCAAGCGAAGGGCCAAGGGTGGACCAGACACAACCCCCCCCTCGAAGCGCCAGAGGGGGGGGGGGGTTGAGAAATAGGAGAAGAAGGGGGAATTTGTCTGACATGCCGACATGACTGAAGAGTAAACAAGTGCGGGCCGACTGAAACGTCCAAAACTCGAAAGAGTAGGCGTTGGGCTTTCTCCTAACCGACCGCCCTTCCACTCCCCCCCCTGAAGCATTATGGTAACAACTCGTTTGGTCCGCTTTGCTACCCAAACACCGCGTAGTAACAGCAGGTGACAGCAGTTTCTAACAGTTGCTGCAGTTGCTGCTGATCTTCGGACGAAGCTCGGTGGGCATCGAGCTGCCAAAACAACACATACAATGCTAAGTTTGATGCATAGACACGTGCAATTCTCGGTGGGACAGTGTTTCATGATGTTTATAAGGACACTGCTGGAATTGCTTGCGGTGCCAATACTCTTATCAGCCACCCAAAAATGCCGATGGGAACGCGTAAGGCAAAAATCGGCGGGTGGGCAATTTTACATCGCGCAGCACCATGGCCGTCAGGCGGCAGGACGCCGCGCGACTGCGACTCTAATCCTCATGGGGCGACCTGTCGAACTAATAACTGCTCCTCTGTCTATTCCGTGAACAGATCCGATGCATGATGTTGTTGTCTGGCCGGGTTACAAGGATCGCATAAAGTTCACGAGGTCCAATTCCAGGAGAGGCCATAATGTTGAGCGTAGCGGAATGAGTACAAACTCTATTCTCCGACCCTCTACGAAAGAAACCGTGGAAGAAGGAAAAGCCGACTTCTACAACGGCAAGTGCCTTGTCAGCATCTGCTGATTGCTTTGCTTTCCCAGCCTGGGTATCAAACGACATGAAAGGCACCAGCCTGAAAACTTGCGACGGGCCTCCACTTTCTTCCACTGCACCCTGGTGTGCAGGTCTTTCCCAGCCACAACGATTCCAAACATGTCCTTCACCAGCTCCGACAAAGCGGTGGCAAAGGTGTCTGCAGCACTGCGGCCTAGCAGGATGTCAGCCTCCAGTACTTTGCGAGGGATGAGAGCGTGCCGCTCGCGGTCCATCACAGCCTCGTACATGGCACGCCACTGCTTGGCCAACTCGATGGCTGCGCGAATTCTGCTAATTTCGCTTTGAGACAGCTGAGGTTCCACCGCAGGGAAGGGTTTCGAAGGATGTAGTTGAATCCACTGCTTACTTGGTCCCTCTGCACGGTCCACCATCCCTTCCCAACGTCCATCGGCATTGTGCAGCACCCCGGAGCCTTGCCAATATCCTCCCATGTTTCCTTCCACCTTGCTCAGATTGAAGTCAATCCGCGTGTGCACCTCCTTCTTCTCCAAGGATCTCGGTCCACAGTAGTGCAAACTGAATGCTACTTTCTTGAAATCATCCTCCCACCTTTGGCCACTGATGCACATCGGCCAAAACGTGAGATTCCTGGGCACTATGACCGGGGGCTCATCGTCTTCAGGCTCGTCGTCTGGAGGCCCTTCATCCTCCTCAACCTTCTTCTTTTTCTGTTTCTTCTTGTTCTCCTTCTTCGCTGCTTTGGGCTTTTGCTTGATTTGGAGACACAAGCTAACGTCACAGACCACTTTCCAGTCCTCCTTCACAGCACCCTGTCCAGTCTTGAACTTGTTCTGGGCCCAACTACCCTTCTTGGCATCCCCAACTTTGAAGCCATCGCCTTTGAGATTTCGCAATCTGTACACATCCCAGTCTCCACACCAATCAGCTTCTCTGGTCCCTGCCGCCGGCTCTTGATCCAGCCTTGGCTTCGTCAGACTTCAAGACTTGAGGTTCTCACGCGTCGTTACTCATTCGGTATGTCGGTCGATTGTGCGCTGCACGCCCCTCAGAAAGCAAAGCCCAAGGTCATGCAAGAAACAGCTGGTAAGCCAGTTCTGGGGCAGTGGGGAAGCCACGAAGGTCACTCAAGGTTGACTGAGCATGGCCATGGACAGCAGTGTTGCGCAGGCTCATTTTGATCTTCAACAGATGCTCTAAGGCCTTAACGCCCGGACTCGTCAAAGCCCATTCTTGCCCATCTTCTCCACTTACGGTGAGTATCTGCTGCTTCCATGCTTCTTGCAAAGCCTTGTGAATCTTCTGGGTTGTGGCCTCTGTCAGGGGATCCTGCGCTAAGATTGAGAAGGCATACGTCCAGAAAGGAAGCGTTGGCCGCATCCGTTCCACACTGAATTCAGCTGAGCTGGCCAGCCAATGTTTCTTTTCCTTCTTGCCACCCTTGATGCAATTCTTTGTTGCAGCCTTCTGCCAGCTCAGGCGGAAGAGATTGCCTCGCGAACCACCAAAAGCAAAGCACTCCGAGCCTCCTTGCACCCTCTGCTACTTTTGCACACCCTCAACAACCGTGCCAGGCCCGTCATCTCTAATGGCCTGGGATCCTGCCCTTTGGTTTTTGCATGTTTTTTGCTGCCTACCTACAGATTAATGCGCAGAAGCATTCAGGGCCCAACACACCAAAATGCAATCCGCAGCGCGCGAGAACTCCCGCAAACTGAAGCAGCACTGAGGATGGCACGTAGAAGCTGCGCTAAGGTCCATCTCAACAAGTCGTCTTCATCTTGCGGATGAACATCAAAATACATCTGGCAAGCTCTGGCTTTCGGCTTGCATGCACACTCGTGACAGTCTGACGCTGACGGCTGCACCACCCAGTACTCGTTGTCACACAGCAGGCAGCAGAAGCGTTTCTGATCACGCTCACACGTGGGACAAGTACGTTGTTCGGCCATTCCACCTTGAATGACTTTATCCGCATAGTCTCTGTTGGAGAAATCCTTTTCAGATGATAGCAGGTCCAGCACCCATTGCCGGAGCCTTTTTCGGGCGGTGTCAGTGCCCTGGTCGCTGGAGGTGTTGGCATTCTTGACCAGTGCAAGGGGCTCTTTGATCTTAAAGATCATGCGTGTGAAACAATCCAGGAGGGAGCTTTGGCAAAATTCTTCGAAAGCACTGGTGCTCCAGGGCTGCAAGCCTCCCAGGGATAAGGTCTCCGAGGAATCCCACGCGCTGTTGGCGACTTGTCGAAGCTCTTGCTGCAGCGCCAGCAAGGGTTTGAATGCTCCAAAAGCTCTGCCGCGAGGATTTGAAGGTTCAGGTGGGGCGAGCTCCAGGTCGTCTGTGTCGCTGCTTTCAGAACTGGCCACAGCACCAGTTGTAAACACCAGATCCTCTGGCATGGGTGGCGCCAGCATGGCGTACAGCTTCCGCCCTTGCGTGGTCATGCCCGATTTGAAATATTCCAGGGTTGCTTGCAGTTTGATGTCTTCCAAAGCATACAGCTGATAACTTGGGATGAAGAATCCGTCGCTCGTTTTGTGATCATCCGTTGTGATCCCCAGTTTTTCGGACCTGTTCTCCTCAAGAAGAACGCGAACACTCCGCAGGCTGCTTGAACCAACAACCGCTCTTCGCTGCATTGGCCTCTTTACCCGCTCACGGTCACTGACCTTGACGAGCGACTGCAAACGTCTGCAATCAATGTTGCGAATCTTGTAGTAAACAATCGTTCCATCCTCTGGCAACGTGTAGTTATAGGGCCACTCAACATTGGGAACTGGTATCTTCATTTGATCATCTTCCACGCTGAGCTCGAGAAGCTCTTCTGCGGTTGTGCCGGACACCCTGACTCTTGCCTTCCGGAAGCCATTCGGCTCGCAGAAACCATTCTCATCACATGTTGCATGGCTTTTCACACATCGTTTCCCGAAGCTGCACCATCCGTGTTCGTGGTAATTCTCACACTGCTTGGCACCCTGCTCCTGAGCTCTGACCAAAACTTACAAAGCAACATCACAGGGCATTGAACACAACACAATGGCTAACTTGATTCTTGATCTAGCCTTGATCTCTCGTCGGTGCTTCAGCACCACAAAAGAACAGACCGAACAGTGAACTACCCTAACTCCGAATGCAACAGCTCAAGGATCTGGAAAGCCCCAGCCGTTGATGCTGGGTCCCAGCGCTGCCTTGATCTTTTTCTCATTGGCCTCGCAGAAGATGTCCTGCAGTCATCCCGACAGTCTGCCAGATGTGGTCATAGCATCACAATAAGGGTTCAGATTTTTTTACAGCGCGGCACAGCTACTTGAGGTTTTTTGCCATAGTTGGTCTTCTGCAAGGCTTTGGGGTTTGCGGACACATGTGTGTTCAAGAGGGGCTCATAGTTCTTGGGAAATTCTGAATCTGAAGGTTCGGTCGTTTGTGGTTTTCATCACGGTTCACCATCAAGAGAGCCCATTCTGATTCCGAGACTTCCTCGTACGGAGATACCTCACCAGCGGCCTTTCTAAAGATGGAGTCTGCACACTGGCAGCAGATTCTCAGGTTCTGCAGGCTTACAGGTCAACATCTTCATATAACATGCCCACGATGGCCCAGGTCTCAGAGCCGTTTCATGTGAGCAAGATTGGCAACGACAAGTACTGTCGACTTGCTAGTCCTGCATCACCAGCAAGAGCTGCGCAATCCTTTGATTGATGACGTCCACCTGCCCCTTAAACTCAGAGAGCAATGTGACTTCGCCGTCTGCTTCGATGCGCACACCCTGCTTTTCCAAGACGCCGTTGAGGCTGCGGAGTTTCACCTCTTTGATCCAGTTTGGCATACCGTCATTGCCGATCTTGCCCACCTTCACAAAGTTGAGTGCTTGCTCAGCTTCTCGCGGATAGAACTCCTACGCTTCAGATACTGCACAGTCACTCTGCATCATTTGCATCTCCGCAGCGGCTGCTACTTAGAAAGTGCGCTAGTCCAGTGTTATATGCACGCCTGGCAGGGGTCGACATCTCCAACTAGGGCTACCTGCTGGCTGGTTGCAACAAACTGCTGCAGTTCATAAGCTCCAAGAAGGCCGGCTACATAATGTTGCTGAAACATGCTGAAACCCCTCCTCCATGGCGGTGTACAAGTTCCACATCTTGCGATCATAGTCATCGTCGTCGACGGCATTCTTTTTATGAGGGCGCAAGCATTCCTTCCACAATTTGGCCTGGCCGCGCACTTGAACTACAAGCCCAGACAGCAGTCTGAACAGGGTTACAAGCGGAACACACAGCTTGACAGTAACGCCATCTGTGAAAAGGAAGCTTTGCCTTGTCGCGATCCAGCGGCCGGAGCTCAGCAGGCTTATGCGCATCATCGCATTCTTTGCCATTGTGGAAATTGATGCATCTGTTTTGAAGGTGCTTAATGCACGGCTTGTCGCGGCATCTAATCGAAGCCTGCAGAAAACTCAAAGGCCTACACCTAAACCATGCAGAAAACGAGTTAGGATGCAACGCTGCTGCACAAGCCCAGGCAGTTTCTGGCCTCGTAGAAATTGTCGGACATTGCAACCTGGTCGTTGTCTCCATGAGCATCCATGCAGTACTTGCCGTTGCAGCAGAAGCCATGGCGAGTGTAGAACGCGCAGAGCTGCGTCTTGTATAGCTTCGCGTCCTGTGACCATTTAGCAAGGATACCATCTGCAACCTAGAACCGGCTGGGGTTGGTGCCTGACTTCCGCCTCAGATTCTGCATCATGTGCGAACATGCTGGAAAAACCTCTTAAGAACTTTAAGGCGAAAGCTTGCTTTGCATTCTACCCTTGGGTACTCAGCTATTTTGTGCGCCGGCCCGCCCGCAGAGGGTCTGCGCTAGCCCTAACATTATGTAAAACAAGGATGGTCTTGTTTTCGCCGCCGTGGACCATTTGTGCAGTTTGAAAACAAAACGCGCGGTCTTAGCAACAGGGCTTTCCTGGAAAATTTTGTTTTTTCGTCATGCTGCGCTTTGCAGTTGATGCCAAAGCTACAGCAAGCCAGGCCGACATGCATACGTCCTAAGACGCCCGACTCGAAACCAAGCAAGAAGCGTCGCAAACCCGAAACAGCGTCGCAGAGAATTGTTGCCACGCCTAAATCCCTGAACCCCTAAAGCCCTCAAACTCAAAAAACCCTAACCCCTAAATCCCTAAACCTCTTAAACGCCTACATCCCTAAACCCTGAATCCCTAAAGCCCAAAAGCGCTCAACCACTAAATCCCTAAACCCTGAAACCCGTGAACCCAAACCGAAAACCGCAAAACCTGAGTAAGGTTCAGGCCTTTGCGGCCGTGCGAGAAAAACAACGTCGGCGACAGCAAGCCAAGCATGAGAAGTTGAGGAAAGAGCCCAAAAGCCACGATCCAAACAAGAAACTGCTGTCAAAAACCGAGCATTTTCCGCCACAGAACCCGAAAATGCCGTAACTACCGAGGATTTCTAGGCACCCCGGCCCGCTGTCCCAGGAGAAAATGCATCAAAAACCGTATCGAAAAGTAGGTGAAACGCCGAAAAATGCCAAGGTTGCTGGTAGCACGACCCGCCCCCCCAAGAAAAAATGAAAACGCGGCAACAAAAAAAAAACGGCGTTTTCCGTCAAGGACCGAAAAACACGAGAAATCGACGCTTTTGGCCAACATCAGCAGCAAAAACGCTGTAAATACTGACGTTTTTGCACGCAAGAAAATGGACGCAACCAACCCCCCCCCCACCACCCCTGCCATCACGAAGGGCCGAAATCGACAACCCTTCCACGGCGGCGAGATCAACGCCTGCCTAAAACAACCCTTACCGATGACTGACAGCTCCTCCTGTTCCTTCTTCTTCTCGGCGAAACCCCGCGGTGTTTTCTGTTTCTCCGGGCCATGCGCAAAGGGGCAGTTGGCACCCTGCGCACAGAACGGGGACTTCTGGTCCTGCTCCCACTTCTTGCAAAGTTTGTGCTTCTGCATCACAACCTCCTGCGCTGCATTGTGACTGCAGGTCGCTATCTGAAGAGGAAGGCAAACATGAAGGCAATCATGAGACATTGGCAGCTTCTGCAAGTTGTGCATGCATGCATGAGCAGACTCTCCATGGAGCCTGAAGGATACCTCAAGCAAGCTCATGGCAGTAAACCTGTAAAGGCCTACGCCAGGTAAGGTAGCCCGCCTGCCACTGTGCCAGTGGTGTACCAGAACATACTCTATTACGTACAGTATACACAAGAATGCCAATTCTACTGCATGTGATACTCTGCTATGGCATACTAAAACATTGCATATGGAAGTGGTGCGGCACACATTGCATCCACCCGAGCCTCCAGGGTTCTTTGCTTGTCCCGTCCATGTGCATAAGGACAGAATTGGCCATTGCTGCAAAAACCAGTTTTGCAGTAGAACTTGCACAGGGATGTTCTGTGATCACGCTTCGCCTGAGCCGCGACAGTGTCTTCAACATTCCATGGCAGCTCAAAGTCGCGAAATGCATCCTAGCATCTGAAGCCCATCAGAAGGCTAATATTGCCACTGTACTTTCGGCAATCTTAGGGGAAATTTGTGTTTGGGATCTCATCATCCTTAACGAACCATTTGCAGCATGTCTGGCATTCCCAATGCTAGACTATGGAAATCCTCAAGCATAGGAGGCCCGCACAAGACAGTGCCTCCAAAGACAAACAGGATGTTTGCAACACCTTGGAGCCCCCCATCGTTTTCCAGCCCGGTACCGAAATTATACATCTCTGTAGTGTTTGTGGCTGCTGCGGCGACTCCAACTTCTTGTTCTGACATGATTTGGGTTGCCCAGTGCTGTCATAAATAATCTACCGTTCGCGAGCTCGCATCGGGCTGCGTCCTGCAGTTCATAAAGAAACGTTGCATTCCAACACGGCATCCAAAACTACAGCTGTCCGGACCTGCTTCGTGTACGGGGGGATATATTGCTGGCCTAAAATTGCAAACACCTGCATGTCGAGGAGAGACCGGCCTCCTGCTCACGCCATTGCTGCGCACCGCCTGGTGGATTCTGCATCTCTTCACCGTGCGCATAGGCGCAGGCAACTCCACGCTTGCACAGGCCATAGTGATAGTTCTGACACAGCAAGGTCCGGAAGGACTCCTGCAAGCACAGCTAACAGTGGCACGGGAACGCCGACACGATTGAGCATTTGGATTTGGAAACTGGCGAGTGACTTCTGCAGCTAAGGAGTGGAGCTGTAAGACGATAGCTTCAGGCGCAGGCCCCCTAGCAGCCGCTTGTTCAGAAGGTTTCGGGCGAGCTAGCTGAAAGACCAGACTCCCCCTTTTCATGTCAGAAAACGTTCGCAGTGCGGTCACCCAACCGCCTCTCCAGAACTTTATTCACCTTTCAAGTTTTTGGCACGATATGACTCCGATCAATGGCTTCCCTTACCCCACAATATCAATAGCACTTCTGTCCCAGCTCCGCAATATTCAACCATTGAAAGCCAAATTTGATCCGGCGGGCCTCGCTCATTGCGATTCCTATTCCTGTCCACTCATGGCGTAGCTGGATTGGAGGATGGCAGCCAGAAGGCCGCCGAGCCAGGTGTCATGACCAGAAGACACAAGACTCAGGTCAGGCTGCAAGCACACTGATCCTACATATGCTACTTCTACCTATACTGCTTGTGGCATACTAGTCGACATGGATTGGAATGTCTAGCTGTTTCCTTGAATGCAAAAACGGCCGGGAACCATCAGACGACTTCCAGGAACCATCAGAGCATTCTCAAAACGGATGATCCATGCTAAAGAAAAGAACTATAATACGACTACACCCCCAGCAAGATGCTCTTTTTGTTGGACGTGCGCAAGCTCCAATGGCCCTTCCGGGCCAGCTCTCGCGACTTCAGCCGCTGAGCCCCAGCAGGAAGCAGTTGCCAAAAGCTCCAAAACCATAGTAGTAGCACGATGGTTAAGCATTCTGCTGGCGACGACCACAAACAATGTAAGACCACTCGGACACGCACAAAACCGTGTAATCTGTTGAGCACGAGTTAAGGTCGATCGCAAACTCACACACGCAATACTCCTCGCGTGTTGGCGCATGGGGGGGCGTCTTTCGCGACTCACCGTCGTCGATCGCAACCTCAAAGGCACACTGAACCTCGAGTGTTGGTGCATGGACATGAGAGGGGCTCGATCGCGGCTCGGCAAGCTTCGCGCGGAGGCGACGAAAAAAACAGTTTCGGCGCCCGGGCGTCGTCGATTTCGTGGCTTCGGGCGCATCAATCAGGATGACCTTCAAAAACCATGCGTTTCGTGCGTTTCATGCGAGGGGTAGTCGACCGCGGGCTTCAGCACCTGCACGCGCGTTTCACGCGAGAAACGTCGTCGATGGCAAAAGGAAAATCTTCGAAATCGAGAACCATGGGTTTCAGTAGGCTTTGTCCTACAGGCTGCACATCATGGCAACTCCGGTGGTGTTCACGCAGAATGGAAGTATATAAGGTTGCAAGACTCGATGTTTGCATTGCATGTTGTAGCAAGCTGGTTTTAACTAACTCTACTACAATTTACAGCCGCATATCCGACCACCCAGGATCGCAAAGGCAACTGTCACAGCTGCAAACTCACACATTGCCAGGTTGCATATTCTTCTGCAGTACAGTACTACACAACGATGGAGTGAAGTCTTGAGCAACATTCTAAGACTGGAAAGTTTAGGATAACATAGCTTCACGTATTTAGTGCATGAAATTGTCGTACTAGCATGCACTTACAAGATTGGATGTGCTAGCACATGGACCTGCATGATGCTGCATACCTACATTTAGCATGACATGATTTTGTGAGACAGGGCTTGGTCGGCTCCGCACTTCAGCAGCCCAGTCCTGGCAAGGCGCACCCTTTGACTAGCACGGTATGCATTTCAGGTCAAGTGTTTAGGGGTTCTGGCTTCCCAAATGAACGATGGCTCAAGCAACATATGCTCAGCGTCATTAAGGAAATATACGATGGCGTATTATTTTATTATAGTATGGCCTGCAGTGACAGAGCACAGAACTCTTCTTGGGATGGAGGAGAACACAACGCATGAACAACACAGGCAAAACTGCTTGTCCTGGCTGGCGAAACACGCTCGCCGGGCATGCGCTAAGTTCTTGCAAATCTTCTCGGACCAGAGCCGTCATGTTTGCTGGCCACATCGAAGCCAAATCGATCGAACAGCAAGTTCCGAAGGGCCACCGCTAACGTGTCAGACACGACTTCCGTGAGGTTGAGATCAGCATTAAGCACTCTTCGCGAAACAGGTGCCTTACGCTCCTTCTCCTCTAAACGCTCGTACATCTCACGCCAGAGCTTTGCGAGCTCTATTGCAGCTGTCACTGACGCCTTGTTGTCTTGAACATCATCTTCCGTCGGCCACGGCTCGCATGGGTGCAGTTGAACCACCTCCCCCCTGCCAGCATCTGCACGGCCATAGTGACCCTCCCAACGCTTACTGGCAAAGTCCTTATCCCAATGCATCACCTGAGTGCCCTCCAAATATTGAAGCTCCTTGCCCTCTTCGTCAAACCGCTTGAACAGAGTCACTGCCATCCACTTGTGGCGACTCTTCTCTCGCAGAGTCCTTCGACCACAGAAATGCAATCGAAACTTCAGCTGCTGTCGTTGAGTGGACGGATCCACGGACAGATCTCCGGGAGTTGTACAAGCCGGGAACCAGATTCTCTGCCCTGTGCGAAACACTTGGAGTTTGTCGGGCTCTTTGGACTCCTTCAACTCAATCCGCTCGGACTCGATGGAAACATGTTCGCGGTGTTCAGGCTTGCTGAAGTCCTGATCTTGCATTCCGAGTTTCGGCTGCTTCAGCCTGTATAGGTCCCACTTGCCAGCCCAATCCTTCAGGAGGGTCGCGGTTAGAGGTGTTGACATGGACCCCCGTTTCTCTCGTCCACTGAGGCCGAAGGCCCAGGCGCTTTGGAGGTTAAACTAGGTGCCCTCCACCTGATCCTCCCCCTTCCATTCCCAAAGTCCGTTTTTGGTTTCCGGTCGAGAGGGCTCCGATTGCCCCTTCTTGGAGGGCCCGGCCACGAAACCTGATCTTCCTCCCTCCCTGAGGTCCCTGCACTCATTTCTGCGGGCTTGCTGTTTGCCGCCACATGTCATAGAAACGCAGCTTCTGGGAGGATTTTGGCTTGAAGATCTGTAGAGGCCCGCGCAGGGCTTTGGAGGCCCCTGCAGGCCCCTGGAGGCCTCTCTAGAGCCCCTCCCTGGCGGGCCTTGCAACCCATCAAAGTTTCAGAACGCTTGGAGGTGCTGAAGGCTTCGGGAGATTGCGGAGGATTCTCGGAGGCGCCTCGAACCCTCGGGCCACTTGGAGGAACGGACGTCTCCACGTTGCTGCTCCCACCCGGCCCTTTCCAACTGCAAGCCGAGGCGTAAAATCCGCCGGCCTCGGGCCGTAGGTGTCTGGGCAGCACAAAGCCGGCACCCCGGCTCTAATCCCCTGCCCTTTGTCTAGCACTGTTTGGCCTAAAATGGTTACCTCCCCTAGCCGACAATTGTCCGGGAGCAGACGGTGCATCAGCACCAGGGGGCATTTCAGCCTCCTTTTGGGCATTTACAAGACTCTTGAGGCCTAAGCCGTATAGGATCTAATAGGCACAGGTTTCGGGAAGTCTTGCCTAAACCCAGATCCCCTTCTTTTAACAGAGGCGGTCGCCGCGCAGCGATCACAGTTCAAGCCAAAAAACCATCCCAAAGCCTAAACTGTTTCTGGCCCCCTGCCTTGGGCTTAGAAGCCATTTTGGGCTTCAAGCCTAGGAACGCGTGCGCAAGGGCTGGCCCTGTGGGGAAACCTTTGAGGACTTCCTCATCCAGGGTCACCCGAGCATGACCATGGACGGTGACGCATCGCAGGCCGTATTTGGCTTTCAGCAACCATTCCAGAGCCGCCTGGCTGGGCTCTTTCAATCTGAGCAGATCGCGACCCTGCTGTACCTCCAAGGTCTGGGTCTTCCAAACACTGGACACGGCTTCTTCGATCTGGCTCTTTACCTGGCCTGAGGTGTCTTTCAGCATGTTGCGTAACCCATTGGACCATCCTTCCAGTGTAGGTGGCTTATTCTGCACCTGCGAACGGAACAAATCACCTTAGCTGCACCTATGCACATCCATCACAGCATTTGCACAACAAGCGTTCTGCACGCTGCTTCCCTGATCTACCGTATGGGTGCTGATGTTATGCACTTAAGGCCGGCGCTAACAATCTGCATCAGGGTCCACTGTAGCAAAGCGCTCTCTGATCTGGGATGTATGTCGAACTGGTGCTTCTCATCACAGCAGCTTTCACAGTTCAAGCAGTACAGCTGTTTGCAAAGAAAGCATCTATGGCAGTTCGCTTTTGCCCCGCACTCTGCACATTTCTGCTCAGGCAGGACTGCAAAGCTGGGATTGCCGTCGTTCTTGTCGCAAGTCTTGAATATTGCAGACAGCCAGGCATCACGATTCGCCTGCTGCGACTCGGTCGCTTCTGCCATCTCACCTGCAGATTCTGATGAGCAGTACCGACTGTATACCCAGTGGATCGCAGCAGCATCCTTTTTTGGGGGGATCCTACAGAAGGCCAAGTAGAGCACAGCAGCCGACCACAAACACCTGCTTGCGTTAGAATTGAGCATTAGCATCCTGATGCGAAGATCTGCTCAAGCTTAGCATGGTGTCCTCGGCTAGAGCCCAAGCGTCGGTCGCCGAAAACTGATGTCCTTACCTAGACGATTCCGACGTTGGCTTCTCCAAGGTCACTACCACATTGCCAGCTAGATTCATCTAGACATGTATCTGTGCCCAAAGTTCAGATCAAACCAAGACGCCTTAATTGCGGGCTCTATTTGAACTCGTTTCAGAACCTGGCCGCCTTCCTTCTTGAGTTTCCAGCGGCACATGCATCGTGCCAGGCGCGTGAAGCCATCCAGAAGCACAGTCCGAGCGAAATCCTCAAAGGCTCCAGTGCTGCGTGGTTGAAGGGCTCGAGAGTTGACTCTCGTGCTTGGAGTGTCTCGGAATCTGCGTTCGATGTCGCAGAGCTCGTGGTTCAAGGCTGTCCAAGCCTTGAAGGGCAAATCCTCTTCGTCTCTCTCCCCATCCGCCTGAAGAGATTTCCGGTAAGCGCTGTCATCCTCATCGACGAACATGAGCTCCTCGAAGGCAGGCGGGCCCAGTACCACCACAAGCATTTTGGAGCGGCCAGCGGATTGGCGGAACTCAAGGTGAGCATCCATCCGGATCTTCTCATACGCATACATGCTTTCGTGCTTTATCTGGAAGCCTTCCTGTGTCACCCAAGTATCAAATAAAGCCCAGCGTTCCTCTTCTCGAGCACAACGCCGTCGAACCAGAACCCGGACCAGAACGCGTCCCGGGCCATCCAACATGGCTTTCAGCGGTTCAGCCTCGGACTGAAGAACTTTCACCAGAGCACATAGGCGGTCTTGCCGGAGCTGCAACTTGTAATAAACGGTCTCGCCGTCAGCTGGTAGCTTGTAGTCAATGGGCCACTCCACAAGAGGAAGCATTACCTTGAGTTTCTCGTCCTCGACGTCAATAACCAATCTCTGGCCCACGATCCCATGAATGACCGTGCCCCTGCGAAACTTAGACACGTGCAAGTCACAGGAGTGGTTCTTGGGGCACCGCCCAAACGAGCACCATCCATCTCTCGAGTAGTATCCACATTGTTCTCTACCTTCGCTCTCTTGGAAACCCCACTTGTTCACATCCTTCCCATGGATGGTTTTTGGGATGTCCGAGCCGTTGCCGAAATCGAAAATGTCCTGCAAGGCACGAGCAAGGAAGCCTCTAAGTGCTGGGCCCCATGCGACAACATGTGTGATGGTGAAACGGATGAAGAAAGCCGTACGAGTAAATAGCATTGAGCGAGCCAACACCCATATGTTCGCAACGAACAATCCTGCAGCACCAGAAGCATCTTCATCACCAAATGTTTCCTTCTCTCAATCTCTTCGTGAACACAACCTGCTGGAACTTGTATCTGATGGTGTGTCTCGTTGATGCGAACCCCGTCAGCTTCGAGGAAGGCATTCAGCAGCTCCAAATGCTTGGAAATGCATACTGGTAGCTCATGCAATCCTTCCCATACTTTCTGCTGCGGCCAACTCTGCACTTCTCTTTCTGTCGGATTTTCGCTTTGTCCAAACTCCTCCAGGGAGGAGCCCCCACGCGCACGGCTTTTCGCTTGATTTAGGGATTGTGGCATTCTGGGCTCTGGGAATTCCTTGACGCTCAGCCATGTTGATTATGTTACTGTCTCCAGGTCTCCTACAAAGTGTCCTGCAACACGGAATACAGAATTTGCGTCTGGCGCTTAAAATCCGGGCGGTTAGGCTGAGCACAGAGAAGCCAGAGCTCAGCCTTGCAGCAGTCTTGGCGAAGAAGGGTTCACTGATTTACTCTTTATGCTGGATAATATGCTGCATCACAGTATCATTTGCTTGATGGCTGTCATCTACTATCGTACAATGTAGTTTATACGCCTCTTATCTACAGTGCACTATGCCGTATGCTTCTTGAAGCCTAAACAACAGCTGGCAGGGCTTGTACGGAACCAGGGTGCCTGCTTTCTGCTGGCCCAAGACAGCTCGTCAAACTCGTGGGCATCCGGGCAATTGCGACCCTTCAAACATCCTTTGCCCCAAAAGTGCGAGGCGCAAAGCTTGTCTTTGAACGCGAAACCATCCTGCAGATTGGGCTCTGGTCAGGGCCTTAAAACCGAAACACCTTCCCCGCTGAAGCTGCATACAGCTTGGCAAACTAAGCCTCAACACGAAAAATGTCTGATTCTTGACTGTGCCTCATCCATGTTCGACTCGGCCAGCCGGGAGCCCTGGAACCTAATCTGAGCCAATGCGCGAAACGCAACCCGGACCAGAATTGCTGGTGCGTGATGCCAGCTTTTCGCCTTCTCCCTCCAACGTTTGACGGGGCTGGATCTTGATTTGATTAAAGACAGCACTGCGCAGTCCATGAGCCTTTTGTGCTTGGAACCCATAGTCAGCCATTAGTCTCAGAGTTCCTGGTAGGCGGTAGCCGAATTGTGATATAAAAGTCGTATCACACAGACTGCCGCATGCCCGGGAAGCCAATGAACATTTTACACTCGGCCTGGGCAAGCAGCCAGCTGTCGGCTGAATCCAGCAGTTCGGCTACCAGTTACCACAGGGCTCCCCTACTGAGTAGCCCTACTGCAGGCTCAAGACAAATTCCATTCAGAACAAATGCAGCCTGCGATCCAGGCGAAGCATATTGAAACACAGCGCTGCTTTGTAATTATTTTGAAGATGGCCCAATTCAAATACCAACCCTCATGCACAATGTCCAAATGCGAAGCTTACTCGGTGCATCCTGCAACCTGACGCAGCATCCACGCAGTGTGTCGGGGTTGTGAGGCCGAAAGGAAAAACTCAAAGAAACGAGTTTTCCTGATTTTGGCAAGAAAGCAACATTCAGGCCCAAAACGGAGCCGATCACATGACAACAGCGACAAAGGTCCCAAAAATTTCGGCAGCTGCTTAAGAGCCCGCCAACATGAACATGACGTGAACATGAGGTGAGGTGAGGTGAGGTGAGCATCGACCGAAGCACGAGCCTGGCCTAACAAAAAGGTAGCCCCTCCGGCGCAAGGCCTAAAGAGCAAACCCCAGCAACACAACGCGCAGGAACAGCAACGGGGAACAACAACACGAAACGCACCAGACGGACGAACGAGCGAACGAACGGAAACAGCCGTTTGCCGACTTTTCCGAGCCCCTTTCCCTGGCACAGCAGCAGCGACGGTAAACGGGGGCGCACCGCGCGACCGGTCTTCATTCCCAGACCCGCGAGATGTCACGTGTCGAGAGCGGCTGCGGGCACGTCGGCTCCAGATCGGCCGCGCACACCGGAACCTGGCTTTTTGAGGTGGATGAGCTCCTGCGCCTGCGACCACCACGGCGTCCGGAGTGGACCCCACTCCCGCCATTTCGGTGGATTACAAGCTCTCTTGTCGAACCCAGCGCTTGCTCCGCCATGGCAAGCCCGAGGCTTAGGGCCCTCGCACACATTTGGTGATCAATGGCTAAGGAAGGACGATGCCGGGAAAGGTGAAAACTGCACGACGATCGAATTTTGGCTCTGGGGCTTGGGGTGACGGTCTGGGCTAGGAACTGCATTCTCTAGATGTTCCACCGCAGCCAACAGGGGTCCTGTTTCTTTCTCTCAAGCAATCCGACTCTCTCCCATCTGCTTGCAATGTTGAATATTGCCAGCTCTATTGCCAGCCTGAGCCTTCCCTCAATCTTAGCCCGCCTAGGCACGGACTACTTAATGCCAACCTCGCAGACTGCAAGCAAAAGGGAGGTGAGCTCCTCACATGGGCGGCAGGACTTGGAGATTCTAGTTGCCCTTTTCCACCCAAGCTCCAGAGGTGACAGGATGGAAGCGCCTGCGCAAACCAAAAGAAACAAGAAAAACAAGGAGACCAATCATTGCGCATATATAGCTCAATATCCATGTATCGCTGGAGCCGCGGGACGAAGACGCGGCACTGCCCATCCACTTCCCCGCTCCTCTACGTAGGGTCCTCCCAACCGCTGCATCCAGCAGGGAAGCCAGCGCTCCAGTATCCGGCACTATCGCCCTACTGCCCCCCCAATGGACCACCAACTGGGTGCTCGTCGGACTGAAAACAGACAAAGGGGCAAAGAAAAGAGAAAGAAAAGGAAAGGAACAAAAACAAGACAAAACAAACCAAAACGCACACCAAGACGCACACACCAGCCCTTAGTGCCGGCTCTGGGGTCCCAGAGGGTGAACCGGCCAAAGGGGGAGACCGGCAGCAGACCCAGGGGGAACATGACGTGAACATGACTGGCAGAAGCAAATGCACCGATCCCTAATTTTTGCACTGGTTCTTGAAACGTGCAGTTGTGTGAAAAGGGAGCAGCTGTACGTGACCAACTGCCACACACAAACAAGTTGCAGCTCGCAACCTGAACACGCCCCAGGGATGGGAGGGTGGGCAACAAAATTACTTGCTGCCTGAAAGCTTGAGCACGTGCGGTTTTTTTTGAACCGACGCCTCTTTACTACATCAGCAGCGCAGTAGGCCGTTCTTGTGGGTCTCAACACTAGAGGTGAAACAGAGCAGGTGCGAAAACCAAAGCAAACACACACCAAAACCACCACAAAACACAACCACCAAAACCCGCAGCAACCCGCCAAAACTTTGAGAGCCAAACTGTACAAGCCAGCGAGCGAAAAAGAAGTCGTGACTACAAAGAAGCAACCGCTAGCGCAGAGGCCCTTATTGCAAGACAACTTATCGCAAGGCCAGCGAGGAGACCAATGCAAACAAGAACCTACCGGCACCAATCACTCAGCTGCCCGTCACCCATAGCAACGCTGCGCCACGTCTGGTACAGACATTAAGCGAAAGTATGGGTAGGCCGTAAGGCAAGGAACCTCCGTCACCTAAACTGCTCAACGCGTCCGTAGAGACAGTCCCCACACAAGCGCCAGGGCCGTAGCAATAGCACTGAGGACTCTTTTTTGGGTTGGCAAGGAAGTTGCAAGCACACTGAAAACAGGCACAATGCACACAGAGCGCCAGAAGAGGCGCCCCCTCCCCCCCCGGCGAGCGGGGGCTGGCAAGGGGCTGGTGTGGCTACACGAGGCTGCCGTCGGCGCTGCGTGAGTCCGGGCGTCCTCACATAGCTATTAGGGGAGTACCCTATTTGGAGGCTCCTTGTGTTTGCGCTGAAAGTTTTGAGGCTCGACCTCATGGCCATAGGGCGGGCCTGAAGCGTTGCTTGCAAGAGGCCATATTCTTACAGCTCCGCGCAGCGGCCGATTTTTGAGACGGCACAAGAGCCCCAAAGGCTGCTGGCTGGCACTTGGCTCATGTGCTTCCCAGGTACCGGGAGCCTATCGGCTTGGCATGCTTAGCCTGGTGCAGTTTAAGGCCCCCAAGGCTGCTTAACGGTCTGCAGCCAACCGCGCGTCAAGTGTGAGAGTCAAGGGGCCCTAAAACTCGGAGCCCCGCGCAGCGGCCGATTTTTTGTGGAGAGCACTTCAAGCAGGTTTACCCCGTGACTACACCTGATGCGGGACCCACAGCAAAGTGCTAGGCCTAGTCACTTCTTGGGCGTGCTGGAGAAGGTTGAAGCAGCAGTTCTTCACATCCCTTCTGGGCCCGCTGGCGAAGGCTCCGGCAGCCGTTTGCGGGGCTAATCACTTCTGGGCCTTCTGGAGAAGTTTTAGGCAGCAGTTTGAGAGGTCTACTCACTGCTGGGCCTTCCGGAGAAGTTTTAGGCAGACGTTTGAGAGGCCTAATCACTGCTGAGCCTTCCAGGGAAGGTTGAGGCAGCAGTTTGAAAAGCCTAATCACTTCTGGGCCTTCAGGCAACTGTTGGGACAGCAGTTTGAGAGGCCTAATCATTTCTGGGCCTTCAGAAGATGTTTGAGGCATCAGTTTGAGAGGTCTACCCACTGCTGGGCCTTCAGGAAAATTTTTAGGCAGCAGTTGGAGAGGCCGACCCACCGCTGGGCCTTCCGGAGAAGTTTCAGGCAGCAGTTTGAGAGGCCTAATCACTTCTGAGCCTTCCGGGAGGGTTTAGGCAACAGTTTGATAGGCCAAAGCACTTCTGGGCCTTCCGGAGGCGCCTAATCATTCTGGGCGGAGAAGACCTAGGCATCAGTTTGAGAAGCTTACTCCCTTATCGCAGAAGCCGTAACGAGCAAGGTGTGTCCATCGTGCTGCGCAAGATAGACCAACGGATGTCCGTTGTATCCGGCACTCTAAGGGGGTGGCGCTGTCCATGAAGCCATGGCGTTTGTTAACAGGGCCGCGCCGGATTACAGGCCGATTACAGCGATGACGCGCTTGTGCCAAGGAGTGCCCCCGCCAGGCACCCCTCCAGCATGAACAGGCTTGTTTCTGCCGGTTGTTCCAGGCACTTTTCCAGCAGAAACCGGACGATGCCTCCGCCCTACGCTGCGACTAGCACTGTCACAAGGGTGAGGGGCAGACCAGAAACCTAAGCAGCAAACCAAACCCTAAATGCAGACTCCTGCACACCCGCCGGCTGCCACCACGCACAGAGCTGCACACAGACGAGCCCGCCAGGCTGATCAACAAGACGCCTTCGCGGAGCCCCGCAGCGCTAGGTGCATAATAGGCAAGTGGATGTAAGGGAGCATTTTGAGGAAAGGGAATGCTACTAAAGGACAGTTTAACACTACACCCAGCACGCTTGCACCGACTGGCCAGACCGTTCGGTTGTTAATCGCCTTTGGTTTGGGGAGCGGCCAGCAGACCTCAACAGTGCGATCCTGAGCCCTCCTACACCCAAAACGCAGGACAACGTGTAGAGTTGCGTCTCACACAGCCGCATGAATTGCGACTCACACAGACGCATGAGGTTTGCGCAGTGTGTGCAAAACGACAGTATTAAGGCTGCACCCCAACCCGCCTGGCACGCTCGGGGAAAGTGCCCGACAGGACCTGGGCATGGACCTGGGCACCTCAAGCCTGTGCACCTTGAGCCTGTGCATGCGCGGGCACCTGCAAACACGCCTGACCAGGAAAGGCCTGTGCAGCTTGAACCTGTACATTTGCGGACACTTGCGAGCACGCCTGACCCGGAAGGGCCTGAGTGTGTTGGCACCTGCGAGCACGCCTGACCCGGAAGGGCCTGTGCCCCTTGAGCCTGTGCCTTTGCTGGCACCTGTAAGCACGCCTGACCCGGAAGGGCCTGTGCACCTTGAGCCTGCGCATGTGTGGGCACCTGCAAGCACGCCTGACCCGGAAGGGCCTGTGCACCT